CCCCTTCCATCTTTTAATATATATAATTGTATGTGTTGTGAATTTTGTTCCAGCAGGGATCAACCTAGGATCCAATAGAACAATCACCAAAAACAAAGATTGCAACGTAGATCACATAAATGCCAGGAGACCCTGAATTCTACTCAATATGTGTTAGCTTCAAATCATGGACAAGGAAGCACTAATGAGTGGATAAACAACATCAAGTGGTAGATGGAATCCTATCCTCTAACAGAGGTGTACTGTCTGGATAATTGAAAGCATGGAATTCTGTTTTGTTTAGCTGTGTGACAGTCTCTGGCAAAGGCACTCACTTACCCCCTACCCAGCAATGTTTCCAATCAAATCTGATCATCCTGTTCTTATTTTTGCTCTTCAGGATTTGTCTGCTCCACTGACTGCCATACTGCACTTGTGATTTCAATATCTGGAGGTGCTTGATTGTTTCTGTGCTGCTGAGTGATATCAGATCAAAGTTGGACACAATAAAAAAAGAGCACTACCCTTAGGGATATGGAGAGAGGTGATGATCAACTGATTCTTTGGATATCCATTTCTGGAAAGATTGAAGAACCTCCTTTTGGTGAAATACAACCCATGACATGCTTTAATGACAGACGGTACCCAAAGGCACAACGGTACCGTCTATTTCCACGACACAGACTGTGGTCGGGTAATGGGTAGTTAGAAGATATCCTTATATTGAGGATATTTTCATTGACACTAGTAAAAGATACAAGGTTGAAAATATCTTTCACCTTGAAAATCTTTTCACACATCAATTTCCCATTCCCGAATTTCCCACGCTCTCATCTGGAAATTTCTCTCACGGTCTCTCTCTTGTAGTATAAGCCTCTCAGCTTTACTACTCTCTCTTTTTGAAGTTAGATCTTGATATTCACCAACAATCAAATTTCATCCACACACAACTATTCCTCTTTATTTCTCATCCTTAAATCCCAAAATAAAGAAAATGCCTACCAATGGCGAGAAAGCTATGAACACGGAGAATTTCCACACAATGTTGAGGAGATCTAGTGATAGATTGAGAGGCGGATCAGTACCTCCACCAGATTCAGAGAGCATTGTACCTACTATGCAAGTTGCTAGCATTGGCGGAAGAGGTTGTGGTCATGGTCGAGGGAATGGACAAGCGTTGTCCAGAGGAAGAGCATCTCCAGCTCGGGGTGTCACCCCAGTTGTCACCTTAACAGTTCCCGGAGCCGGTAATGGAACTTCATCCAACTCACCAGCTACAAACGGTGCAACATTGTCAGTCCCAGCATCCGGGATTGATACTACTGTTGCTCAAATATGATCTAAATCAAATTAGTGTTATTTCATCTCTTGTCTGTTCTCTGTTTCATTTGATTTCTATGTGATCATCCTGCGAGATGTCTTGTTTGTTTCTTATTTGATTTCTTTGTCTTTGTGCGTTTGTTAACTCTCACGGTTATGTTTCTCTAGACTATATAAACCTCCCTGAGTCACCAGATGCTTCGTACATTATCTGTTCGAAGCTTCATCATCTGATACACAAGCTAACTTAGACGTGCTTGTGCATCCTGGTTGACTCATAGGTTAGTTTCTATTTTTGTGTTCTTCTCTAGTCATGATTTCTTTTCTGTTTGTTGTCTTTTGTGTGTTAAAGAAATACATTATCTGTTCGAAGCTTCATCATCTGATACACAAGCTAACTTAGACGTGCTTGTGCATCCTGGTTGACTCATAACTACTACCACATCATCAAGTATTGACACTCCAAGTAACCCATTACCAAACAACCAGACAGATCAGCCATTGTCGGGAACCTCTGTGATCCATTCTGTAGGATTAATTTCAAGAGATGATGTCGTTCATACGCCAAATTGTAAGCCATAACATGAAATACCTTTACCCACCTTTGGTGATGCCGCAATGTGCGATGTTTCTTGAGCTATCCACGTATTGTGTTGCCACTACTAGTGATGCCTCAATTAAGAGAGGAATTATGAACGTATATCTAAAACATATTGGTTTCTTCTCGTTAAATTTGTTCTCTCCAAGAGCACTCCCCCGCTCAAAGGGCCACAGTAACTGCGGTTGGAGAAAGCCCTCCCAGAGGCTTTCATTCCTGGCTAAGGTCAAGAGGTCTTACTGCTGTAAACAGCTCCGGTCCTGCGGTTCCGTCCGCCCAAAATATCACAACCATGTTGGCCAAGAAAACTCCAGTCGTACCATCTGCACCATCAAACTCTGTCGGGAAAGTCAAAGATAAGTCTACTGCAGACAAGGTCTGGATCCAAGTAGACTCGACCAAAGATAAGGACGACAAACCTGTTACAGCTGACAAGAAGACTGTCAAAGTTAGTGATGCTGGTATTGAAGTGAACGACCTTGTTGCTTTATCCCCGTACTTTGAGTCTAAAATAAAGCCCGTCAACGGTTACGTTTCTCTTGCGGTGTTTAACAGCATGTGGTTGAAACAAGATCTTATCTGTTACTCCTTGCGGTCAAAAACAATGAAGAAAGGCGATGAAGACAAATACACCGGTCTCCCTATCCCTGACAAATGGAAATTGAGCTTTGGTGAATGGGTCACCGCATTCAACTTATTCGTCGCTTACCTACGTCATTACAAACACAACGACCTCGCCAACAAATTTCTGATTCATTGTGAAAATGTCTTAGCAATCAAACGTGAACGTGTTTCCTGGATAATGGCCTTTTGCTACAACCAAGCTATACAAACTACTGTGATGACGTTCAGAAATTCAGATGGCAAGTTAGCTAATCCAGCTGTGCGAGATGAATCTAGAGAACGTGAAGCACAAAATGAGACTGAACGCTTAGGAGAAATGATACCCTGTTACGCCGAAATAAATCCATACTCAGATGGTCAGCCTAAGGCACATATCAACCCCATCACTGGAGAAATCAACAATTATCACAATCAGAGTACCTATACTGGCGGAAACACCAATGGAATACAGCCACTCACCACGGTAAACCAAATGCCAGGTCCTGGGCTCACTCAAACCAACACTCATTTGAGGTACCCACTAGCTCCAGCCAACCTTATTATGAAGATCGAAGATCCAACGGTAGAAACGTTAGAGGACGCGGTCGAGGTGGTGGTTGGTTCTCTCAAGGAAATGGTGGGTGTGATAATCGTGACAATGATCGAGGTCGTGATAACGACTACTATGACAATTGTCAAGCTGAAGGTAGTGGCTCCTGGCGTCGTGACAAGAGGAGAGATGATTGTAAAGGTGATCCTAGTGGACCCAAATATGGTGGCAATGGGAAGGCAAAGTAAGCCGCGTGAACCAAAGCACCCTTTTTATGTGATGAATGTCCAGTTTTTTTTTTGGATGTGTACCTCTCTTATACTCCTTTTGTCCTCGTTATCAGAAAGGGGAAAGACATCTCTTCTTGATTTGTATTGAAATCACCAGTTCAAGTGAACTCTCATTTGTCAGACAGTTGCAGAGGGTTGTCTCTAGCACTGTTCTAATTTGTCGTTTCTCCCTTTGATCATGTGGATATCCATTTTCTTGATGTCCGATCTCGCTGAAATAAACGTCAAAAGACAAATGCATGTGATAAGCTTCTGACGTCCGTTGATCTGTTTCCTCGTGGTTTGCTCACTATAGTTATGATTGGGAAGCCGCTGTTGCCACCCCTTGAGAAAGTCCTCAGTTACGGGTCACTCCTGAGTTTGAAGAGTTGAGAATCCTACATTACCAAAATACCGGTAGGTTCTATGACCAAATGTGGCCACACTGGTACGCAGTGTGCGACTTGAACCTGTCAAAATGGAAGTCACTTATCAGACTATATAAGATAGGAGATGGCACAAAGGAGGTAATCAAAGGATGTCTCAAGGGTTTTCATCAAGGCATTCCTGATCATACGCTCGGAAATAGGAGGTGGTACACCCCAGATAACCACCAATCAGCCAAGCTTGCATCTGACAAAATTAGGAATACTCTAGAGAAGGAGAAGAGAGCAAATAGGATTTTTGGCCCCTTTACTCACGAAGAAGTCTTCAAGAAAATAGGTTTCTTCAGGTCCAGTCCGATAGGTAGTGTGATTAACGGTGATGGTTCGTTTAGGATCATCAATGACCTGTCATTTCCACATGACGAAGAAGATATCCTGTCAGTAAACAGCTTTGTGGATAAGAAGGAATACGCAACCACTTGGGATGACTTCAAGATAGTGGCTAGATTCTTTAGAGATAATAAAGGCAATTACTTACTAGCGTTGTTTGACTGGGAGAAGGCTTATAGGCAGATTCCCATCCACCCATCACAGTGGAGATATCTCTTCTTGATGGACCTATCCAATAGGTTATGGCTTGACACTCGAATACAATTTGGAGGTGTGGCAGGATGCGGTGTTTTTGGTTGGCCAGCGGACCTATGGAAGATGATCATAGTGGCTGTGTTTAACTTAGTTAAGGTGTTCCGTTGGGTAGACAATAGCTTACTGGTCAAGGAAGTTGGGAATAAAACGAGTATCAAAGACATTGTAAAGCTTAGTTTTGAAATGGGGGTTACCTCCAACTCTGAAAAGGTACACAACTTTTGCAAAGAGCAGCGTTATATTGGGTTCATTTGGAACGCCAAAGAGCGTTTGGTCCAATTACCTGATGACAAATTCCAAGCTCGCCTGCAAGAAATAGAAGAATTTTTAGTCCCGGACGCATCTTTTAATTTAAAAAGAGTGGAAAAATTTGTCGGACGGCTAGTACACACCACGCACATTGTTCCCCACCTCCGTTGCTATATGTCAAGTTTATACAGATGGGAACACGAATGGCAGGTGGCATCAGCATTGAGGAAAGTTCCGGGTGACGTAAAGGAGGACTTAAACGAGTGGCTCACAGCTATGAAGACCTTTACACCAAGAAGAATTATACCCGACCAGGTTCCAATAGACCTAGATTGGGTAGGAGACGCCTCTCTTACTGGTATTGGAATCCTCGTTGGTTCCAGGTGGGCGCAGTTCGACCTTCTGAATGGTTGGAAAGATGAAGACGAGAAAGGAGTCAAGCGGAATATAGCATGGGCTGAGACCGTTGCTATCCGCCTAGGATTGATCATGGTGAACAAATTCACGTAAACGGGAGGGAAGTCCTTTCTGGTTCTGACCAATAACACAACATCTCAAGCTGCAGTGGATAATAAGAAGTCAGGTGACCGTGCTGTTAATGATGAATGGAAAATGATTCAAAAGTTACTAGAAAACTTACACTGCAATATAGTCGCTCATCAAGTGAAAACAGACGACAATCTGGCTGACTTGTTGTCACGAGGGAAAGATAAACACTCTGTTGATGAGAGAGTTTTTATTGATGTACCTGAAAATCTGAAGATATTTGTTAGACAAGTTCTGTAATTGATCAAAAATGAAACGTACTTTTGTATCCAAATTTCCCCTTGCCATTGCCATGTTTCATGTTGCAGCGCAATGGTTCCGATTGGAGATCTGACTTCAAAAATTAGAGATTGGTAACAGACCATCTCTAATTCCCCCTAACTGCTTCACTTATCAAGTACACAACATTCTTCATCACTGCATCCAAGAATGGAGTTCTTGAAGGACGCCAATGGTGTTGACTTGTCAAATACAGATGTTGTAAAAGCCTACATGATTAGCGGCGCTTGGTCTGCAGCAACGATCAAACATTATAATGCAGGTGTATCGAAATTGATGAACTTTGCAAGTGAATATAAGATCCGAGATCATACCTACTCCCAATCGATCCCAATGTCCTCAGTCACTTTGTCGTGTGGGCAGGCCCAAAATTGAACACTGGAAATCAACTTAACAATAATGTACCGATAAAGTCAAATACAATTTGAACCTACCTGTCCGGAGTTAAGGCATGGCATCTCTTTCATGGCTTCAATTACCCTCATAAAGAAACTCCACACATAGAGGCACTGTTAACGGCGGCGAAGAAATCAGAGTTGCAATCGGCACCTGCTGAAAGAAAGGAACCCATCTTAGTACGGCATCTGTTTTGATTAGTAGAAGACTTAGCCAATGGGAAATTGTAAAGTCAAGTCGCATACACCGTTGCACTTGTGGCCTTTTGGGGTATGGCGAGGCTGGGAGAATTGTTCAAATCTGCTAGTAACTTAGATCAAGTAAGAGTGAAAGATTTGATCTGGGATCCGTCTGGTAAATTTATTTGAATCAAGATCAGAGCAGCAAAGACTGCCTCAGTGGGTGAGATACAAGAAATCCACTTACAACATCAGTCCTTGCTCCTCGACCCAATCGGCGCCATTAGGAGGTTGATCAAAGACACTGGCGCTACAGACAACGACCCCCTGTTCTCATACCCAAAAGGAAACAAGAGGATAACATTGACAAAATCAAGATGCTTGAGGTTATTTTCTGATACATGGAAGACACAGAATGAGGTTAGACTTACTGGACACTCGTTTAGAGTTGGTGGTACTTCTCTGAGGTGGAACCTTAATAATCCATTAGAGGAGATAGTCACTGTCGGACGTTGGAAGTCAAAGGCCTACAAACTTTATATCAGGGAATATACAGAGGAAGATCTCTTAAATACAATACAGGTCCTAGAGCATCTCACCATGGGGGACTAATTGGCGTTAAGGAAACTTTAAATTGAAATTCTTTGGAATGTTACTTTGATGAAAAAAAAAATGAAAAAATGAAAAACATGCCCTATTGAGGCTGTCACAACCATCGCGCTACGTTCTGCGCTGACGGGTGATAGAAGGTAGCTTGACCCAGGTCACAGTTGATGGGCGATTGTAGGCTCAGGTCTGCAACCTGAGTCAAGGGGAAGCGATCTCCCGTCAACTGTCACTGGTGTCCTACCTCCCTCGGCCTCTACTAGCCAGAGGGCCCCCCCAAGAAGCCTAAGGTTTTCTATACAAACTCCTTGGTTTGGAAAGGACAACCATGGATAGAACTCACACACAACTAACAGCTTAGCATAAAAAACATTTACGTAATAAATAAAACACAGTTTGACACCATACCCACCCTTGAGACCCAGTGAGAGAGAGTGGATGACAGACGGTACCCAAAGGCACGACAGTACCGTCTATTTCTACAACACAGACTGTGGTTGGGTAATGGGTAGTTAGAAGATATCCTTATATCAAGGATATCTTCATCTACACTAGTAAAAGATACAAGGTTGAAAATATCTTTCACCTTGAAAATCTTTTCACACATCAATTTCCCATTCCCAAATTTCCCACGCTCTCATCTGCAAATTTCTCTCACGGTCTCTCTCACGTAGTATAAGCCTCTCAGCTTTACTACTCTCTCTTTTCGAACCCACCCGCCCCCCTTTGGAACAGAGTTTCCTCAGATAAAGGTGTTTGCAAAGGATAGGATAGACTGAATTATGAAGGAGTGAGCCGTATTTTAATTAGTTTGGGAAATCATTTCTTTAGTGTTACTTTATAATTATAATTGTAGTAGTAAGTTTTTGTTGTTGGGAGGTTGCCTAGCCCACCGTTCAGCAATCTCCCGTCAACTGTCACTGGTGTCCTACCTCCCTCCGCCTCTACTAGGCAGAGGGCCCCCCCAAGAAGCCTAAGGTTTTCTATACAAACTCCTTGGGTTTGAATAGGACAACCAGTGATAGAACTCACACACAACTAACAGCTTAGCATAAAAAAACATTTACGTAATAAATAAAACACAGTTTGACACCATACCCACCCTTGAGACCCAGTGAGAGAGAGTGGAAGAGCCCAGTGCACTTTTTCATCCCTAGCTTTGAATCAGCCTCTTCCACCACATTTTCCCCTTACATTCTTGTCAAAACCTCATTACCCACTATGGTTCAGTCAGCCTACAGTGTTTTTGATCACATCATAAGCCAACAATGGTGTGTGCTCTGAGTCCTGGTGATATATGTATGTGTTGGAGTTTGTGGAGGCCACCACAATTGAAGCCAAAAACAGCACATTGGGAACCCAAAGGTGCATGTCCAATATAAACAGACAACTGCATCAACAAGAAGACATTGGCATCCACAAAAATGTTACATCACGGCCAGTCTCATTGCAGATCATTGTAAAGACATATGTGGGATACAAAGCCGGCTTTGTGCCTGGAAACATTTTGGCAGTAAATTTTGGCAGTAAATTTTGATTTTCTGGGCAAAAGTCCGGGCCCAGAATTCAAATTTACTGCCAAAACAGATCTGGGCACCAAGCCAGGCACATGCTGTATTCTAATTTGTATCCTGCATATGTCTTTTGGTCTCAGTACGACAGTTGGCCCAGATCTTACTCAATACACACCTGTTTCACAAAAAAAAGTCAAGCAACTTTCCCATTTTAAAGGACACAAGAATCTGCTCAGCACTTGAAGTTAAATACCAAGTCTCAGCTCTTCATTTGTTCAGAACGTAAATATATTTACACCAGAATGTATTGAGAATCCATTGAAATGGCCAAATCATCTTGTTATTAAAAATCTCTGCACAAAACTCCAAGCAAGAGTCTTCAAGCTTCCATCCTTGCTCATTGAAAGAAAGAAAACTGTTGAGGAAGACATCACACTCAGAGGAAAAATCAACAGAAACTCTCAATCAAACTGATATATCAAATCAGTCAAAGATCAAACCTTCTGTTCGGATCAAAGATCCTAGTGACTTGTTCAGAGCAGATGCTCATTCATTGACGATAATTGTTCACATTCTGAAAAAGCATCGCGGTTCAGCGTAAATTTCAATTCAAGGAATGCAACAAACGAGACAGTACCCTCCGGGTCTATGTGACCTAAGAGAGAGATTTCCAACCTTTTGGAAGACGACTTTGGCTTACAATTTATATTGAGACAGTAGACTATACTCACCAGCAGAAATCTGACTAGCCAACTGGTCTGATGTTGACAAAAAGCATGATGCAGAGGACAGAGTGATGTAGTAAAAAAATGATGGCAGGTCACGTGTTCAAAACATGTTCAAAAGAAAGTCCCCAACGTGATTTGAACACGTGACCTGCCGCTGTGCGCGCACGTTGACTGCAGGCGGCCGCTCTAAACCACTGAGCTATGGAGACTGTACCGGGTCTTTGGAATTACGGAGTTCAGCAGCACAGGTTCCGTTCGGTGGTGCCGTTTTAGGCCGAGTCATGACAATTTGACAATGTTTTGTGATATACCTGAGGAATTTTGGCACGGATTGTGTAAGCGGGGATCGCACCGACGAAAACACACATCAGTTGCTTGTTCGGGGTGTAAGGTTCCCGTGAGGTAAATCTGGCAGTTCATAACCCAACAGGAAATGTTGGGTTGATTGAGTTGTGTGGACGATGTTTTCAAGGATCGGTCGATGGTGAAACGCTGTGGTAGGCGTAATAAGATGGATTCATACTTACATGCAGTGATATGGCAGGTTTGATCGCGAACTCTTGTTCTTCGAACTCCTGCGGGTGCTGAGAGTGACTTCAGAACCAAAGTGATATTCATGGCAGCCATATTTTATGTTGAGCCATCAGGCCATCATCATGATCGGTTAATGGTGGGAGATGGACTGATTCAATGGACTACGTATCAGCATTTAGGTCGAAGATGGTGAATTGATCAAGATCTGCTTGACGTGATCGGTACGGGAGCATCAAGAAGGGCTTCGATGCAACTCAAGTTCAGCAGCGCTTGAAGTTCTTGGCTGGCTGAGGTTCAACCCTTCTTAAATCTTCCACCTCTTGACCATTACTGCTCCTCTGCCCGCTTCACAGTTTTCTTTGAGACCGAGCTCACTTAAGACAAGTCCTACTCCCATCCATCGCTTGATCTTATTTTTTGTTGCACTTCAGCATATTTGCTCACTATCGACCGTCGATCGGTTCCTCTCCTCTTTGCGGGCAAGCCTCCTCTCCTTTGGCAAGACGTACTATTTTACTTTCGCTTTTCACTTTGAAAGTTTAAGATACTCCAAATTTCACACCTCCTATTCTGCGTTCCCACTACCACTCCGGTAAGAACCCTGACAACAGTTGCAGAGCCCTTTCTATCTAACTTCACACCTGTCTGGACGGTTCGGTTTCTTCAACCTCTTCGAGTTCGATCAGACGGTGAGTCGAGTCGCACCATGCTTTTCGCTCTCTTTCCATATGTTATTCTTGAGCTCGATAAGAACAGTTTTTAGCATTTGCCACATGGATCAATTGAGTTTCGACCAGGTGGACTAAGACAACTGTTGTCGAGTGCCGAATACATTAATTGAGAATGTTGTTGTCCTTCACCCCCTCATCGCCATAAAACGCAAGCAGATCTCCTATCATTTTTTGTTCGCCTTTACAAATCACGAACGACAAAATTTCAGCCTTCAAAGAAGAAATTTCAACTACGCACTCAACCCAAATTGTGATGACTGACCAAGCTGCACCGGAAGTTCAAGCTGCTTCTAAACCAAAGCTCCTTCGCTCGGCTACTGCTGTCAAACACACCCTTTATCTCATCCTTGCTTTTTTCTCATTCTTATTATTCATCATCTCATGTGTGGTCGTCCCATTCGAGCGAGATCAATATGGCGGGTATGTATCACTCCGGTTTCAATTCATCATTATTCCCTTTGTTTGACATGCCATCTTTCCACATCAATCGAATCAATAAACAAAATCGTAATCAAAGCTACAATCCACCCGCAGCTGCACTAGCTTTCACCGGTGGTGTGGGAGCCTTTTTCTTGCCTCTTTTGTGAGTATTTTCACTTGTCCAGGGTGCAGTTTTCATCTTAGCTGATATGCGTTGTTCCCTTGTCGCATAAAAGTGTGTGGTCACAGAGGGTCCGGCCTGATTTCTTCACCAATACCTTGATAGCTGATCTGGGATTCTTGGCTTTCATGTGGTTCTTTCTACTAGGTTAGTTCTAGTACCTCATCTCAGGTTTGCACGTGAAAGATCTAATTTGTAGGATGACTTTCAATTCGGACAGGTGGCGTGGGTGCACTCACGGCACAGACCTACGACCTACTAGCCTGTAAGTTAATAGTGTTTCCGTTACGAAGAGCGGCAATTCTTACTGATGGAAACACCTATAGGTCAAGATCTTTTCATCTGTCGCGGATTCAGCGCGATGATGGCATTCTCTTGGATATCATGGATCATCACAACTGTTATGATTGGATACATCTGCGTCATCATGGGTTCGCTCTGGTCTCGCGAGCAAAAGATTGAATGGACCAAACCACTCAAGGAGGTGATGAAGGCCGAAAAGGCCAAAAATGTTGACAAAATGGCAGAAAAGGAAGCCACAGTCTGAAATGCTTTCTTGAATTTATGACGACTCAACGTGCGCGCTTCGTCTATGCTACCCAGAGAAGGACGCAAGGGACGTTTGGGAAATCCAGTTCACTAACCTGAATCTACTCGTTGGCTTATGTTCCAACTTTCTCCCGAATTCTTTTTTCGGTTTCATTTTCACTCTTTTTATATATATGCTTTCTATTCAACTTTCTTGTCCATTTTTGTTTTCTCACTTTGTGTACAGAAATTCAATGATGTTTTTAATTAATTGGACATGCGGGTATGGATGCTTTAAAACTTCGACTTGATCAGCTGTACAATGATGTTATTCACATTGCATGTTTTTCTACCTTACATGATCTTTTGAATCGTGGCACGCTCGTCACTGGTGTGTGGATGCTCCAAATTCTCTAGCTCCAAGCGATATTTGCCATGTGTCATTCCTGAGCGATCACTATCCAATCACAATAAGGTCCAATGATATACTTACTGGCGAGTCGCTTTTCGAGGATTATGAGAGAGCCTGTCAGGATTGTGGGCTTTGGTATTACTATACAATGCTTGATCTTCAAATGTACCTGCTATCTACTTAAGCACATTCAAAGAAACTGGCCCCAATACAATGACCATGAGCCTGGCAATGACAACATACAACAATTTTTCAAATTCTCTTGAACCCGACCCAGAAGGCCCCAGAGTCGAGTAACAAGCGTTGTGTGTCCTCCAGTGTGTTTAGCTGGTCTGGTTGCAATTGACATCGTCAGTTTCATTGCCCTTTGGCAGAGAATATCGAGAACATTTGAAACACAAATCACAATGGTAAGCTAGTAAAAGACAATTTTCAGGATCAAGGGTGTGAAGACTCATAGGTATATCTAAGCTAATCTTATACAAGTAAGAAACAAAGGTGAGTGTTAGTGTGGCTGTGTGTTGTACATTTTTCAATGAGCGCAAACCAACTTATTTTGAGACAGAAAGGGGGGTTGTGCATTCTTGTTGACAAGTGAACACTACGTAGACACAGTGTCATCTCATTATGAATTCCATGGTTTGATAGCACAAGAAGAGAGGATTAAGCATGTCTTGTAGAGAATGGGTACAAAAGTATTAAGATCTTTTCAGATTGACTCGATGACTTTATAGTATAAGACCATTACATCAAGAATTAGAAGGCAGCTCAATTTATCCTATCCTCCTTCAATCACAGTTGAATTGAAAAAATGCAAAAAAATGCGAAATTAACAGGAATAATTTTGAATGTGTATTAAACATAACACAAACAACAACCTTAAGCAATCACATTTATAGGAAACCAACAAGAAATGTAATTTTTGATAATATTTTTAAATGCGTGTCTAGATAAATTGTCATTGAAAGGAGTTGCACATTTTTTTCAAAATGATAAGAAAGCTATAAAAAGTATTACCAACATATCCCCAGGGTGGGACGGGAGGGCTTCAAAATAAATGGTAATAGGTAAAGGTAAACAGGAGGATGTCATTTTACCAATTGGTAAGATAACAACAATAACCCGACCCCTAGCAATTAAATCATTTATACTCGAAGTACTTCCAATCAGTAACTAACAAATTACCCATATACATCAATCTCACAAAGCTTGACAAGAATCCCAAGCCAAATCACTTGAATTTGGTGGGCAAACCTCGGTCAACCTTTGTGAAAGCAATTGTACACTCATCCCTTTTACCCAATGCTTACTTTCCAAATTAATTTTTGGCGCACCCGCAGCGCTTGAACCCCATGGTCAGCTCAACCCTTGTTAGAGATTTGTCATCAAAATCTGTAAAGCAACCCTCCTGTACCTCTGAGTATTTGTTTGTTTGCATTTCATGATGCCAAACACATATGTATAACGTCTTCTGTATGAGTCGCACGTGATCGGGTACATGATGTCAAGTATTACACAAGGGGTAGTGTTAAGATGACATGTCTTCGTAGGACATGTGATCTTGTCGAATCCCATAAATAAGCACCATCTTGAGAAAACCAATCTCCATCACATCCATCACACTCACACCGATACCACTATCAAGCACCAGAAATCAGTAGCCTCGATTTTATCATCATCCTCAATTAACATGGGTTCTCATTCAGTTAAGCAAAGATATTGATCTTTCCAAACCCTGCTCTTCACAATTACTGAGCCTTGATTGTAACACTTCAGACTTTAAAACGTATCAATCGAGAGCTTACCGAGTTAAAGAAAGAACTTCCTGAAGGTATTCTTTCAGCCGGTCCTAAATCAGACTCAAACCTTTTTGAGTGGGTAGGATCGATTGCTGGTCCAGTAGGGTCTTGCTACGAAGGCGGTGTATTTCATTTTAATATCATCTTACCTCACGATTATCCATTTCGACCACCCAAGGTGTGTAAGAATGCCAAGTTTCTCAGTTGATGAAATCGCTTATCAACTGATTCTTTTGGTTTATTAGGTTTCATTCCAGACTAAAATCTATCACCCGAATATTAATGCGGAGGTGAGCACATTTGCTATCTATGGAGTCATTTGTCCGCTGACTTGTATAACCGACACTGTCATTTTCAATGATCTCTAGGGAGGCATCTGCTTGGATATCTTGAAAAGTTGAGCAAATAATTTGAAAAAGCTATTTGGCAAACAATGCTCATTAATTGACGCTGATGATCATCTGTTCTCTAGATCAATGGTCGCCAGCTCTTAAAGTACTCAAGGTTAGTGTATTAATTTCAAGTTCCACCTTGCCTTTCCGGCCATCATATCTATACAATTTTACTTACGGTTTTGAGTCTGACACTACAAATGTGCATTTCAGGTTTTGCTTTCTATCTCCTCGCTGTTGACCGACCCGAACCCAGCCGATCCCCTTGTACCGGACATCGCTAGGCTTTACTCTTCCAATCGTCCGTTGTTTGAGACCACGGCAAAAGAGTGGGTCAATCTTTACGCTCGACCTCCATCATCACGTTCAAAAAAGACCAGCCTACCCGGTCCACAGGCCAGTAACAAATCAAACAGGCCAAAACCCGCGTCACTGGCTAGGGCATTGCCCGAGGTTGTTGACGAGATTGAGTTCATTGGCACTAGCCAGCCTCAATCAGCCAGCTCTAGTCGTCCTACAATCAAGAAGCGTGCGGCCGATGAGGCACTGGCCCGTGGCAGCACGAGCGGCACTAATCAATTGTCTACAACGGCAAGCGCAGAGGGTAGCCAAAGGAAGCGACCAAAGAACCAGGTGATTGAACTGGATTGACGTCTTTGTCATCTTCTTATCATGAAAGCTCAACGTGCACCACCCTGAATGGGGCTGTACTCTGTTTATCGACAATTTTTTCTTAGCTATGTAACATGTCTTTTGTTCGGATCTCAATGGTAGTCTTGCTTTTATCGTATCTTCACTTTTCACTGGTCATCTTCAATCGTTGCAGTTTTTTTTCTAGGCTTGTACTGCTTACAACTCATAATCACAGACTTGGTTGGTATCCCTTTCTAGAGTTTTCTTTTATGAACTCTGCTTGTACGGCAATTTCATATCTTAACATTAGTAAATCGTCAGTGCATAAACTTTATACTTTTTTTGATTTCTTTTCCATTTACCCTACATATTCAATGTCGTTGATAGAAGCAGATTCTCAGTGCATCATGTGGAGAGAAAATAATGCGTGAAGCAAAGAATTTTTTTACAAGTGTTGCATGATCTCCATGTGCAAATTTGTCCCGGAAGAGACAAAGGTGGCAAGTCGTCACTCAGAGGTAGAAAACCCGACAAAAGTGGCCCAAATATATCTGAAGCTCAAGTCAATATAAAATCATTACTAAAAATTAATGAAAATTGTTTGAAGATAGGACTGCGATGCTGTGTATGAAAGAACAAGAACACATTGATGAAGGTGAAATGAGAGACAGCGGAAAGACATGGGTGATTTGAGGAAGAAGTGGGTGGTATGAATTGAATTTATGGGGTTTGAAAGATACATAGTATGGGTTTATGAAGATGAGTATCCCATTCGATCGTCTGAATTGATTCCGGTTCTCAGGCCATTCAACTTTTCTCTCAATCGGTTCTTGAACTTCTTAACCATCAAGGTGACAAGACGGAAGATGCTCAGAGGCGTACTTCCACAAATATCAATCAACTTATCATTTCTTGCTCCTCTCAGTGGTCCTGCTAATGGCCTTCGACCAACCAAAGATTTGACATTGCTCAACTCCACACGATGTTTTTCCTCATCAGCTCTTTCCTTAATTCACGGTCAGCGTAAGGCCACAGGGGACAAGAACTTTAAAACTTATAAACCTATCACTCCTGGTCTACGTCATCTACGACTTCCTCGTAATGATCACCTTTACCGTGGACGATGTCATCTTCCACTCACTATACCCGATAAACGTACTGGAGGTCGTAACAACACAGGAAGAATCACTGTAAGACATATTGGTGGTGGACACAAGCGTCGAATTCGTACCGTCGATTTTCATCGTCGTACTCCTGGCGAGCAATATGTAGTTCGAATCGAGTATGACCCCGGCCGATCTGCTCATATCGCTCTTCTTCGACATCAATCTACCTCTGAGCTCTCCTATATTTTGGCACCGGATGGATTACGTGAAGGAGACATGGTTCAAAGTTTTCGTAGTGGGATTCCTCGCCGGTTACTTGAATCTGATTCTCTAGATCGACCAACACCCGCTCAATCATCATCAACTGATAAACCCAAAGTGATCTCGAAAACGATACCTAAAGAAGATCTCGCTTCTGCAGCTGAAGTGGCTACTTCTCCACTTGCACTCGGTCTACTTCGTACACTTACCATCAAACCAGGAAATTTCTTACCATTACGACTTATCCCACCTGGCACAAGTTTACATGCAGTAGCGCTTCGACCTGATAGTAAAGCTAGTCTGATCCGATCCGCTGGAACGTTTGGAAAGTTGATTTCTCTCGGTCATAACCCACGTGGTAACTCGTCAGGTAGTGCGGGAAGTGGCGATTACGCCCAAGTGAAGTTACAGAGTGGAGAGATTCGATATATTCATATGGATGCATGTGCTACCATCGGTGTAGTTAGTAATGGGCATTGGCAAGGTCGTAAGCTTGGCAAAGCAGGACGTCTAAGATGGCTGGGACGTCGACCAAGAGTGAGAGGTGTAGCTATGAATAAGTAAGTCTTACTCATTTTGATTTTTTTTCATCGATCATCATTTGAGAATTAAACCTGATCTATTGAAATTAAAATCTGTTCAGGGTCGATCATCCTCTTGGTGGTGGACGTGGTAAATCGAAATCGAACAAACATCCTGTCTCACCAGCAGGTTTGAAGGCAAAAGGTCTCAGAACTCGTCGACCTGGACCACGAGGTAATCGGATGGTTGTCAAACAAAGGCCTAAGGGTAAACATGTAGGGAAATAGAGATGATAAAAACATCAATCTGGTAGATTACCCAGCCTATATGATGAGTCAGTACTTTTGGACCCTGGACTTGGTTTTGTCCCGACCAACAAAATAATTACGGCAAACTTTGATGAGAAAAGAGCTTTTCTAGCGATATATTCACTCGAGACTGAAGTCATGTTTCAATAGAAAAGAATGATATTTAGATACCTTACTGAGTGTCATAGAACTCATGTCAGTTTCAACTATATTCAACTAATTAAATGTATAGCCCAAGGTCCCACTGTTCTATACCAACTTGAGCTTTTGAGTCATTTCAAGACCTGGAGGGGTTACCCCGCCTCGTTTCATGAATATGCTTGATCACAAACTATCGAGTTATAAAATTATAGCATCTGACTGACATGTATATGAGATTGTACTACAAAGTAAGATCTGAAGATATCAAATAGACTGGATGGTCAAATTTGCCTATCCACATCAAATTCAATTCAAAGACTTGGACTTTTAATAAAGAGACGTTTTTAAGAGTCGGCTGCTTCTTTTCTTTGGGACATGTATCCTGGAGATGAATACAAGGGAATCGAGAATAACTACCATGATAGTTTTTCTTCGAGGTGCATTGAGGAATGTGATATTTTCATCTGCCTCGCAAATGAGTTATCTTGAGATACAGCCAATAACCGTCTGGTTTCAAACACTCTCATGTCTTTTGTTTTTCAGAAATCTTTTAAAGGTGCATTGGATCCGTACATCTTCGAGGAAGAAAGTAAACGAAAAACTCTTGGAAGAGTCGACATCAAAAGATCAGAATAAGGCCGTCCAGAGAAAATAAACTTAAAAAAATCTTCACCCGTAGGTGAATCCATTCTGACTACATGTGTCATCCTTGTGCAGGGGCCATGCTAATCTTCTCTGTATCGTTCCAATTTTAACGTATGGCACCACCGAAGTGGGCCGAAAGGAGTGCAGACATCTATGTATATGTACCTGTAACACGTGTTCAGAGTTCGAATCACTGATGGACACATCAATAGAAAAAAAAGATCAAGAGTCCCACAACCAGCCATGACCATAATGAGTCCTGCTGCCTCCTGCATGTGATCACTTCTTTCGCTCTTGAGTTGCACTCTGATAATCAGAATACATACAATCACGGCTGAAGATGCCAAATACAAAGTTCATCACACTATCTGCATAATTTCTGGATGGTTTGGTCTTCTGTTCAGCATGTCTCATTCAGATGAACACTTGGCTTGGACTGTGTATATCATGCAACCAATTCTCCAGTATGATGACTTGTCTACATATCATTCAATACACTGAGCTCATGATCAACATATCCAAGTAACATTCGGGCTTGAAAGGGTAAAAGTTGAAACATTCACCTCAAAAGTGGTTATGGGTTGTTGGATTTGAGAGGTGGCTTTTACTGCTGCAAATATGTGCTGACTCGATCATGACAATTCAAAGCTCAGTTTGTGTTTATTGATTGTACGAGAATAAAGTCTATATCCTAGACATATCCCAAATAACCAATCATGTACAAAGTTGGGTCAAACAACAACAAGTTTTGGAATTCTTCCCTACTCTTCGTGATAGTCCTGGACGGTGCGTGACAGTTTTTGGAGGTAGGAAACACATACATACATGGTGAGCTCTGGGATGAGAATAGCAAAAATCTAGAAATTCCTCCGTACGACAAACGGGGCATTGCTGGTTGTAAATTGAGTATGTAGGCTGAGAAATCGATTGCAGATTCTTTTGATAGCTCTTTGGGGATAACCATAGAACTGGAAGGTCTTCTGTAGGTTGAGACTTTCTTATTAAAGTCAGGAGGACATACATATTAGAAAATAAAGTGAAAGTTAATCATCTCCTGATGTGTAATTTGGCTTTCTGGCGCGAAGAAAATCCACTTTGACCCACCGAATCTTAAGAAATCATTTGCTCGGTCATCGAAACCAACACTTGGGGTTGTCGTCAGTCTGGTTACATAAACAAAGGGCGCCTTAAACAACCCAACCGATTCACTTTCTTCTCATCCTCAAATCGAATGAACGCTTCGAATCTTTGTGATGTTTTTTGATTCAGTTTGATGACTGGTAAGTTGAGATAGCAAGTCATCATTGAGTACCATTCCTTTCAGACGACCTCTTAAATAAAACCCAGATTTGATTTTGTTTAGTTTGACTGACTCTGAGATTGAAGTCCGATTTACATGATTTCCTAGTCCTTCATTCCTTTCTGATAACAGCTCTTGACCAACTTGCAAACCGTTGGATGCTATCATTTTGATCGATCTCAGTCTCGACGCTTTATTTACAAAAACTTCGAGTCTTCTTTCGATTCCATACATTTACATACTCACAACCTCATCACGTTCCATCCTTTCTCCATTTCACAGTGCATGCAGTCAAGCAGCTGTGGTGTGTAGTAAATCATTCTCATACACATTTTTTTTGTGTGGTCAAGCGAGTCAAAGTTTGTGTTTCTTTTTATCTCCGACCATTTTGATGGTAAAATCCAATCCATTTTAAGAAGAGCTCAGAATTCACACATTGGTGGTACATTTATTATATCCTAGACTCTAGATCATCCGAAAAGCCTGTGGAAAGCGACCTTGTACTTACAGGCTTCGGGTTACATACGTCAATTCTGTGGCCTTAATCGCTTCTTCGGCATCTGATCTGTGGTCTCAACATAATCACACAGCTACATTCAGAGGGTTGATAGGAAAAACAGCGGTAAATAGCAGCATTAGCACTAACGCAGGAGAGTTAGTTTCGCTGTGGTCTTCAATGCCAAATCCCAGGCTTGATGTAGATGATTTGAGTTCAAAACCAAGGGTGACTCCAATAAGCTCAAATCATCCCAAGACTCCTTCTACATCAAACCGAGATAATATGTCACCTACCTCACTTCGATTTTGGAATCGAACTCCAACTCATCCGACGATTGAGATCACTCGATTAACTTCACCTACACCTAATGAAAGAATCACTTTGGTTAGAAGACCAAATACAGCTGGTACAATGGAGAGTGAGGCGAAGACTGTTGTAGATGCCGAAGTTGGATGGGAAAAGGAGAAGGTTGAAGATGTATTCGAACCGGATGAAGAGAATCAATATCGAGCACTTTTAAATCGATTGGATATTCGGATTTTACCATTAACCGCTTTACTATATGTGAGTTTTCATAAATCTTGGATGTTGATCCATTCAGAAGCCATTTTTGATGAGCTAACGAATTGGTCCTCTTCAGTTATCCGCTTACCTGAATCGTGGAAATCTTGGAAACGCACTCTTATACCATTTACGAGATGATGCGTTGGGAAACAGAGACCTCCATTATTCGCTCGTACTTTGCAGGTATGTGACGACTAAACCATCTATCAATGATTCAAGCTGACTGACTCACTACTTTTCAATCACTCTCAAGTTTCTTCTTCACTTATATTATCTTTTCCATACCCGGAACATTACTTTCTAAAGTAATCCTACCTAGTACATCTATGTCAATAGGCGTATTGATTTGGAGCCTTGCATCAAGCTCTATGGCTGCTTGTCATACTTATTGGCAATTGATGATTTGTCGAGTTAAGCTCATTTCATAACGCATTTTCATGATATTGGGAAAATTACAGGATAAGGAATGGATTGAAGTTCACATATTTGGCCAATCCATCAATCGGAGTACTTTTACTCCTCGCCTATCACTTGATACGATCAAAATATTGGATTTGCTGAATCAAAGCTGATCCATGTTTTATTTATGATTTTTTACCTTTCAAAACAACACGTCGCGCTTTCCAAATCCAATCCATGTTACTTAGGCTTTCATTGGTGTGGGAGAAGTGAGTGAAACATTCTTTCCATCATAGTCTTTGTGGTATTGGGCAGGCACATATCTGATGAGGTGGTATAAATCACATTAGGCATTATTTGGGCAAAGTGTAGTGCTCTACTATTCTTTATGGTCAGTTGTCTTCCTTATCACAGGTGGTTTCAACGCTCACCATCTCAGGTCAAATTTTCCAGGTTTCGAAGAGGTGAAATGTCTAAGAGGATGGCCTTGTTCATTGGTTCTGCAGTGGTAGCTGGAGCGTAAGTGGCTCTTCAATGGTTCCCAATCTTCGATATTCTGCTTGATTGACTCACTAAGATAATTTTGTACGAAATGAACAGTTTTGGCGGCCTTATCGCGTGCGTCTTATCTCTCTCTCTCTCTCGTGAAAGTTAGGTTTGGATCAGTAAGCTTATTAGCTTTTCTTGGAATCACATTTTGAAAGTTACGGTGTCGGTCATATAGAAACTCCCATGTCGAACTGGAGAATTCTGTAAGTAGTTTGTTTTGTTTTATCATGTGGTCATCATCTATAACTTAACTAAAATAACTATTATTAGTTTTTTGGCTGAAGGAGGTCCGAGTATACTCCTCGCATTTCTGTGCTTTCGATACCTACCATCACGTCCCGATCGATCATCCTATCTCAATCCAAAACAAACACATTTACTTCAAACTCGGATCAACGAAGAAAGTGCAACGACTGGAGTAGTGGAGAACGGTATTGATTGGTCAGGCGTAGCCGATGCTTTCAAGGACCCGAGAGTTTACGCTTCTTCAGTTTGTGTCTCCTCTCTGCTCTTATGAACCTTCACATCTGAAAGATATTGTCCCTGATATGAAAATGTGATCATAGCTCATTTATAGTTGCATGAACCTCAATCTTGCTAGTGTCAGCGGATTCTTACCTCGAATTGTGGCATCGTACGTATATATCCACTTCTGATATATATTCACATTTCTTTCATAGACTAGAAAACTAGATCATTTCTTACACCTTGTGATATCCTTTTATACTTTTGTTTTCAGGCTAGGGTTTTCAGATGTTCAAGCTCAGTTATTAACTGTACCACCTTACGCAATCGCTTTCGCAGTGATGTTGCCTACGGCAATCGCCTCAGATCATTATGGAGTACGAGGACCATTCGTAGTTTTTGTATTTGCTTGCTCTAGTGTAGGATGGGCACTTTTGTTACTCACTCATGATCATCAGATAGGCGTGAAATACGCAGCGACAATTTTCATTGTCATCGGGGGCGTAAGTCATTCTTGATTGTGAAATGTAACTCTTTCTTGAGATCTGATCCGGTCTGAGTTCTATCCTTATCTAGTACTGCGCAGTACCTTTGTAGGTTTATTTATTGCTTGCATCGGTGAAATTATCTAATAAGGAACACGATCTATTTTCGCTTTTTCACTCAAACAGAATGCTCTCGTGGGTTGCCAACAATTGTAGCTGTAAGTCATAAAGTTTTTTGCGCCACGATCACTATCCTATAAAATACTAAAGAGTGGAATCATTGACAAATTTCGAATAACCTTAGCTCAAAGCAAAAGAGCCACATCTTTGTGAGTTCTCCATCCCAAAATGATCCTTTGAAATCATTGATGACTAACACTTTTCTTAAAACTTTCAAGAGGAATGTTAAACAGTTTTGGACAAGCACTGAGTGTTGTAGCTGCATTTCTTTTCCCTGATCGTACTGGACCTGCTTGGACACTCGGATGTGCGATCAATCTCGGCGCAGGACTCACAGCTGGTACAGTTGCTGGTTTACTATCGCTTTATTATGCTCATCAACGTAGAACTCCATCAGGTATATATCCTCTCATTTTTATGTTTCAAAATCTTTCGTAACTTTTCTTTCGAGATATGAGAATTTGATGTTTCTCTTCTTTCTGGTCGATTAGGGTTCGGGTATATTGCTTGATGCATACATTTGGTTTTCATTTCCATTGCCTAATACATCCAACAAAGAAGAATTCAAAAAACATAATCATCTTGATATTCTTCTTATGAAACGATTGAAATTTACTTGATAGGTTTTGTTTTCTTATATATGGAGTTTTGATGAGGTTTGAAATTATACCCAGTGGGTGAGAAATTATTGAAGAAAATGAAGTAGATCTGTTTTGATTGAATGTTTGTATCCAATTCATGTTATTCTCATGTTATTGTAGTCTGTTTTGTTTACAAAGATCCCTTGACCGATTTGTGTTTGAATTTGGTATGAGTCTGAATAGAGACGTTCTCACTGAAAATGGTAAAATTGCAACACTCCTGTCATTCATTGGTGAAGACTTTTACATCACAGCTTGTCTCACATGGAAGTGATCCCTTCTCGCAATTGAAGGAATTTTTTTGTCACTATTCGAAATTGACTGCAACAATGAAAGATATTGGTTACTTTCACCACTTATCACAAATGCTTATATTTCTAAGTGATGCAAAATATCACTATCAGCATTTACAATGGTCCTTGCGCATCTTTCTTGCAGCGCGGACGGGGTATGAGAGAAAAACAACATCTTGAGAGCGAAAAGCTTCATGTGAAGAAAGATAAGTCTCTTGCAAAAGTGAGGATCACTACAGATAACTACTCTGGCGTTCTACGGTCGACTTGAACACTTGTTGATAAAAGTGTAATATTCACAATGAATGAAGTTGAACTATCATTCACCTGGTAGGTGGACCAAGAGCTCGGAGATTTTCGAGAGTTGTTTGTAAGACGTCATCTGGGCATGTTTGAACATGGAGGTCTTCGATAAACGGGTTCAGCCAACCGGTGTTGAATGCAAGTCCATCATCTGGGCTCGGCGGTATCTCCTTGTTGTTCTATCGATCGGTGTAGTTTGTTTTCATTCGAAAGTTAGGGATTCATTTTCATAAAGTAAGAGAGAACAGTAAGACTTACACGTTTCACTGGGTGCGCAACATCACACCCGTCGTTGATCCAGCTACCAACCTGATTCTTAACATCTTTTGCACTTGAACTAAACATATAAAGAACCACCCGTTATCGTTGAGTTCGAATGACAGGTTTGGGATTGAAGACATCACATTGGTAACTTACTATTGAAACGCGGCCGGTTGTATATCACCCGTACTCCAATCATAAACTATGAACTGTAAGAGATGGGTCAACCAGTCAGTCCAGTTAGTAAGATCTAGCTTCTCGGTAGGCTTATCAGACCTTCCACTCACAAGAACACTCCTGAAATAAGCACATGGTACATGCTCTTGAACTGCGTATGTGACGACTCTGATCGAATCACATACAAGTCAATCAACACGCCGCAACATTTGTGCAAATTCATGGAAGTTGATGACTAACTTGTTAATGTCTCTCATATCAGAGTACATAGTCCCTGCTACGGCGGTATTACACACTATAACGTTGGGCGGCGATGTGGAGCGTTTGATAAGTTCACTTGCGCGCTCCGGTTCCAGATCAGTCAAACCGCGACCTTCCAAGCTACGGATGGAATCGGAAGACCCCATTACAGATAACACAAGTGGTAGAACTGATCCAAATAAAGCAAATGATTTCATGATGAAAAAACCTATGATGGATATGCTGGACCAGGTGAATGATCAGTTGATTTTAAGATAGTAGAAAGAAATTGAAATATGAAGGAAGATGAAGGTGAACCTGGGAGATGAAATGACCCTGGAGTTAAAAGACCAACACTTTCAAGCTTCGGCGAGCACAGATATGAGTCATGAGTCATGACTCCTCTTTTTACAAGTTTCCAAGAATAGATTGTAAATAAATAGACATGAATTTAATACATCGTGGCAAGATCGAATGATGCTAAATTGAACAAAGACCAGCGACAGCGTGAGCCTTTGTCAAGTAGAGAACGAGTGTACATACATTTGCTCAGATCTCCATTTGTAAACTCAATGTATGAAATTTCAAAAAATTTCTTGGGGACTTGCCGATTTTGGGTTACCAAAATCGGGAGATGAATGAGATGAGTCGAGATAGGGCCCTCGACGCTAGAAGCGGCTGTATGGTACATTCTATTCGACACTTCAAATGGTTGAATAGGGCACCCCGAGGTGCTCGGAGTGCACACTCAGAAATTGAAGTGACAATTCATCACATGCTTGACGTGGGACCTTGAGTCTGAGTCACGCAGCACGCTACATTTTTTTTGCCTGTGCAAAAACTTGTGCAAGTTTCCTCAAGTTTTGTGCAAATTCTGTGCAAGACATGAATAGAACTGGCAGTGAACAGCTCAATTCCATTCATGGAAACACTGGATTATGTATTGTTTGCAGCCTCACAGATTTTATGGCATGCTTGTTCATGTGATTTTTTAGTTGAACTTATATCACTCTTGCAAGATTCTTCAATTGATTGATGATTAAAGAATTAAATGAGAAAATTCAACAATCTTGCTTATCTCAATTCATATCACCCCATCGACCTTCAAAGTGAATCAGGAAAAACTAACACAATGAAAATTAAAGAACCAATAATAGTATTTTAACCAAACATTATCTTTCAATAACATTTCTAATCACATTGACCATCAAATCCATCCCATTCATAATTGCATGTTTTACAATTTGATAAATTCTTTGATTCCTCTGATGGTAATAAATCAGTATTGATTCATTGGAATTGCATAGTACTTACAATTGATGTTACCTAATCACTGTCATGGTTCAACTGTTGCGGGCATGCTCATATATTCTCTAGTTTACCAAAAGCAAAAAACTGACAAAAATCAATAGCCCTTCAAAATCTTGCGGCAATTGGACTAATTTTCGAATAACCAATTTCTCCGATAGTAATCTCAGGCTCAATATCCACACGAACGCAATGGTTTTTGGTTACACCGAGTTCCGAAAGGAATTTTATCCAAAAGGCGCGCCGAGACGCTCCCCATTTTGTGGGCGCGCCCTATTGAACAGCTCGCCCACGGGCACGTCCCAACCTCCAAAACCCGCGCCCACCACCTGATTTTACATCAGACTGATGGTGCCAGATAATGAGATGTGGTGTATTTCCAACCACCGATTCATCTTTCAATATTCTAGCAATTTCAGCATGCGACGAGCAGTAGGAATATCATCTCTCGAACGCACCTCTGCTACCAGTGCCTCCTATTCTACTCTTTCCGAATCACTCTCGGCTGCGACTTTGACAAACCTTCAAGCTCAGTTATCTACCTTCCAAGCTGCCCTCAAAGCTTTTGCATTGAAACATGGTCATCGAATCCGATCTGAGCCCGAATTTCGAGCGACATTCTCGAGAATGTGTGCTGAACTTGGAGTAGATCCGCTATGTGGTGGACGTAAAGGATTATGGGATTGGGTTGGAATTGGAGATTGGACATTCGAATTAGCGGTACAGGTAGTAGACATATGTTTAGCTACACGCGACCGAAATGGAGGCCTAGTGGGAATGGAAGACCTCATCCATAGTCTCCGATCTCTTCGAAGTCTTCCATCGCAAGCTCCATTGACTGAAGATCGATCAGAACCGGACTCGACTACCAAGAAGAAGATTCAAACGAAAAAGAACAAATTGACTGAACTTCTCGAAGGCGAAGTGAGCGAATCGGATGTTGCGAGGGCGATCAAAGCACTTGAGCCACTTGGATCAGGATACAAGATCATCAATATTGGAGAGAAAAAATTCGTTAGATCGGTGCCTGTTGAATTAGATAGTGATTCCTTAGAAGTCTTCGACTCGATTCTCTCCAGACCAGACGATCGGGGATATACAACTCATGCAGATTTGGCTAAAGCAACAAGATGGACAGTTGATCGGACGCGTAACGCTATTGAGAAAGCGATGATGACAGACGCTATGTTGTGGGTTGACGAGCAGGCACCGGAAGGAGATCGGTTCTATGCGCCTGCTCTGTTCGTATTTGAAATATCGATATCTTGAGCAAACGGAACAACGTATCAATCAATTCTTTACGAATCTGGACCTAAGCATTCCTTTCCGAATCCTACTGAGACACCTTGGTTAGTGTTTTTATTCACGAAACACTTAATCTCTTGATACTCCTTAAAATCTCGTAACGATAAACTCCCTCCTCTGTACATAACAGGTCGACTTTCAGGCCACTATATATAGGCTACATTCAATCCTGGCGTTGCTTCAAGAAGTTTATTCTGGCTCATTGGATTCGGGGGACCGCCTGCATGCTTGGCATAGACATAATCATCCAAGATTTCTATTGGAACAGTCATCACTGCTGTTTGAGGCCCATACGGACTTAGCTGGCCAGTATCATGCTTACTTAAGAAACGTTGGAAACCCTGAACTCTCTTTGAGAAAACAAAGCAGCTTAATTGATTACTTACCAAAGATGAAAGCTGTTGTATTGTCAACAGAGAATGATTTCATTGTAGGTATATGTCCGTGTATGTATGTAAATCAACTCTAATCTTCCCCATACGCTTTGGTGCTCCACGAGGTCATCACTTGAATTGTGCTTAAGATGTTGATTGTGCACAACGCATGATTACAGGTTTTGCTGGGTAATTTCAAGTGTTGACTTGTCCAAACTGAAATTCCAAGCAAGTGCTTGTGATACAAGATCTGTGGACTTGCTTCCCCCTGGGCAATTGGTGTTTATATCTCCTGATTCCGAGAACAATACCCTTGCAAACCAATCACATTCCATCATCCAAGACCCCCATTTCACTGGGGACCTGCTGTGCACACTGGTAATCCAAAGTTTGGTACATGGTAGAAACATCTTTGCTTGTCTACAAAACTACCCAAAGCATTCACATCAAACCTAGTATCACCACTGTTGGTCCTGGCAGTCTTTGGGCTGAAGATCCAGGGGTGCAAGTCTCAGTTCTGTCATAACATCACATCCTAGAATTTTCTCTATTTCTCCCTTGTCTGTGCAGATTTCAAAAGTTGACATCAGGCTAAAGGAGTTACATTAAAACTTCATTATGTTTCTCCTAGATTTGTCTGAATCCACCAAAAAGGACCAAGGATCAGCAAAGTGCTGCTGAATGTTTTCAAAACAGTTCAGTATCTGAGTCTCGGAAATGCAGCAGACAAGAGGCATTTATGGTGAGTTCCCATCCTCCTCTTTGTGATATACATTGTTTGAGTAATATTCCAAGTAAATCATTGGGGTACACAGCAAGCAACACAGCAACATATACTATACTGGTAATGTGTTGTCAATTCTGGGTATTGAATTTGGGACAGAATACACTACCCATATGTTTTCCAGGCAGAAAACAGAGATAAGCATACACAAAAATCTGTGGTGACCAGGAAACAAGCCAGAAATACAAAACATTTTATTGTATTCCCAAGTTCAAGACCATCAATATGAGTATTTTTCATAATTTTAGTGCAATTATTGATTGATTTACTAAAAGAAACCCTCCACAATTCTCTCATTACCACCTGAAATGACTCTTGAAAACGGGGCCAAAATTGAAATTTGGCCCTCATAACTTCTTTGTTAGGCTAGCCAAAAATCTGATTTCTGAATAGAACTTGAAGATTGGGATTCAGCATTGGAAAGAGCTACATCCAAACCTGTTCAATGGGGGATTGTCAAATTACACGAGTTTGAAAAATCCAAAATTATACTTGAAAATTTAGGCCTGAATTCCAACCTTTGGCCCTGATATTGAGACAGTCATTACAGATGGTAATGAGATAATCTTGAAGGGTTTCTTTTAGTAAATCAATCAATAATTGCACTAAAATTATGAAAAATACTCATATTGATGGTCTTGAACTTGGGAATATAATAGTTTGTCTCATTTCCTCTACAGATTTTTGTGTTTTATTATTATTATTCTCTGCCTGGAAACCCTTATCTTCCTTGTAGTGATACCACCAACCCTGGGCCAGCAACACAGGTGTTGCATGCTGCATTGCGCTTGCGTTGCGGTTTTTCTGACCACACCACACCAAGGAATCAATTTTGAGGTTGCGGCCTGACCTGCCACGCAACAAGATGCATCAAATCAACATTTTTTTTTTGGCCGCAACAACATCTGTTGCGTTGTGCGGCCATCATGGTGCCGCGCAACCCAAGCTTACCTTTGGTTGTTGCTGTACTTACCGCAGCGCAGTGTCTGCTTCTAGGTTTTGTTGTGTGTTGTGGAGCAACACACCAAAAAACATGCTTGCTGTGGTGCAGTGCGTTGCTGGCACAGGGTTGGTACCACTGTAACTGGACAATCTGATACCATTGAGGTTCAGGCTTGGTAATGTAACTCTCATGCAGTTACAATATCAATTCTAGACCAATTTTTTGACTCTATTGAGCACTCCACAGGGCTTGCAAAATTTTTGATACTGGTTCTTGTCCATATTGAGTAGGTTTGCTGCTCTCAATTACAATACTTGATAAAGTATTGACTTACACAACACTGCTGGGACCACAATTGGGTAGTGTAACTGAAATCAATTTACAACATATTGAATTACTCATACTTTGTATTCAATTCTGTTACAATTACATCACCAATACTGGTAGGGTATTTGTTACTTTGTTACTGTGAGAAAAGCAGGGAGATGGGTGGTAAACAGTCTACGATAACAGCAACAGGCATCCTGTAACAAATATTTGACTCCTGGATTGAGTTGCAGGGACTTCAGCAGGGTAGACTATGCTGTGTAGCTTCCTGCTGCTAGTTTTTGTATCACAATGGTTCAAGTATTGATTTGAGTAATACACAACCAGGGAAATCAACTGTTAATTTGTATATCCTGAGGCTTGCCCAATTTCATTCTGGAAGTGATTGAGGATCAAGATCTTATTGGGGATGGAAGATCAAGATCTTATGAGGGATGGAAGATAAATCTACACATGTCAAAATGTTTATATAAAGATATCATATTTTGATGGTGGGTGGTGTTTAAGACACCTCTCACCTGGTGGGTACAGCACATTTATAAACCTGGAGACCACTACCAAAGGTGGGAATAGGGTGAGGGGCAGCCATTTTTACCATAAATATCACTGCAGGACTCCCACAAAATGGAAGATTTTGGCAAAGAGGGATATCATGCCATGAATATCCTTCTTGGGCTATCATTTACTTGCAGTATGACAATGGATTGTCTGCTTTCCATTTCTTACCTGTTGTGAAAAATTTGACTGTAGGATTCAATCTTTTCAATTTCTCAAATTGTCTACCCAACACAGCTAGAGCATCCAATCTCAAACATTCTGACTATCTAAGAGCCTATGTGATGACAGATGATGGTACACATGATATTTTCAATTAGCAACTTGTTTTCCTTTTATTCAACAATACAGTGTTCTGCCTTTTGCCCCTTTGTGTAAAGGTACACCCACCAGCTGACTTGTATGGTCCCAAAATGTAACTCACACAATTGACTTTAATCTACAAGACATAATGGCCTGCCATAATCCTTCTATCATCAACTTCAGATGATGCATGTCTGCTGACTTAGTTCACTTCATTAAGGGCCAACCCACCTGGTATATAAAAATAATGCACACTGGCGGCATTTGCAAGGTGTCACATACACCATGTCAGGGTTTTGTTTACTTTTCAACAAGTACAGCCGTTTCAACAAAGATTGATTCTTTTGAAAATCTTGTCAACGTGCAAAACCTAGGGTTTTTCTCTCACTTGGTTTTGTCTCTCCGCTAATTGAAAGAATACAGAAAAGATTAAACCTGTAATCAAGTTTTTTCTCAGTTTTTACCCACTGCGGAGACACCTTTCTTCAAGGAAAAGTTGTCAATTTTTCTTGAAACGGCTGTATATATGATCTCCCTTGCTTCCTCAAAGTAAACTGCACAACACAACACACTGACACAGATATCAAATGTACAGTTGTGAGAGAGATTTGTGGAGAAGAGTTTCAAGAGTCTTCTGGATTGCAAGACACAATATAAAGATGGTCAATGACCCTATTTTTTTGAAATAAATATGGGCTACCTATACACAGCTTCACATACTTGATCAACACCTGTAAGAGATATCTATGAAGAGAGGTTTCAGAAGAGCTTCAGATTGGGGGTCACAATATGAAAAGTTTTAATGACCCAGGTTTTATTCAAATACAATGTGAGCTATCTACATGCAGTGTTATGTATGTGATCAACACTTGTAAGAGAAATTTGTGAAGAAAGGTTTGAGAATGGTGGCTGTGAGCCACAATGTCAATGTAAAGAGAGCTATCTTTTTGACCCAATTTTTCTCAACATAAGGCAAAATAAAGTGTTTAATCTTACACTCATATCAATATGGTCAACATCTGTTTTCACATAGCACTCTCCTTTCCAATGATTCTCTCTGTTGTGGCTTCACTACACAGACCACTTCTAGATATAGATTCAATCAATTCACTAGATTCACATTCACTGAATCAACCAGCAGTTCCAAATCCTTGGTTCACACATGAGGGTGAGTTTCTACATGAGATTAATTCTGGTTCTTAGCTAGCTCATCTTGGGATGTTATAGGATTGGAACCAGAAGTCTATAATGTTGTAAACAGCATCTTCTCAAAGGTTCTTGGGAAATATCCTTATGAAACTCAAAAAAGCCTGACAGATATTATTGCAACTGGTGCAGATATCAAAGTTGATCGAGTGAAAATTGGAGTGCAAGGCAAGTTTCCTTAGAAACAAGAAATTATAGAATAATCCAATTTATGAATATCCTTTTGAGATCAGCAGAGTTTATCAATAATGCACAAAGTGGTCATTATCAAACTTCCATGGAAAAGTTTTTGTGTAAGCCACAAATTCACATCTAACCAACAATATGCAACTTATTCTTTATTTTGGTACAGGTGAAATTAGGACATATGACAATGAGGTTGACATGGCTTTCAGTCAAGATTGTAGTTGTTGTGATGGTTCCCTCAAGATGATTCTCAAGAAGAAAGGTTCGGAGTGGAAGATTACCAGTGCTAATTTGACAAGCGGCACAGACCATCCTGATTCTGAAGAAGGGTACCAATCCGAATAAGTACCTCAGTTGTGATTTTGTGCTGTTCCTGGGTTATTCCCATTGTTATCAAGCATGATTGTTTTGGGCTCTACTATGATACAAATTATTCTGACTGGTCAATGGATATTGAAAATATTTCTCTGTCTATGTCCTGAATGTAAAAGTATCCCTAACCTCAAATCCATAGAACAGCCATATATAGTTTTGCAACACCTAGAGTGATAAATCCAAGCCCTACAATTACCTGTCAAAACTGCCATAATCTGGTCTTCCTGCTCTTGAGAAATTGTCAGTAAAGGATGCAATGGGGTTCATGCAACTCTTTGATGTGTTTTGCATTGCAATCATACATCTCAATGATACTTGTGGGTATCTTCTCATCAATGTGGAATATACATGCCAAGTGCCCGCATCTCATGGGCTCCTTCATTTGAAATAAACAGTCCCACTCCTCCAATGACTGGCTTTTGATCATCTAAATCTGTGATAGCATCTTTGATGTTTCTATTTGCATGGTGGTGTACATAATCTCTGCTTGTCCAAAATATCAAAACCAGATACCATTGGGGGATTCAAAGCAGTTTCTGATCCATGTGCCAGGACTTGTGCCCAGAATTCTTTTGGCTGTAAATTTGAATCCTGCAGAAAATCCAAATTTATAGCCAAAATGATTCTGGGCACAAGCCCAGATTCTACTTTCTATCATGTGCTCCAGGTGATTGTTGAACAGATACAGGCCTCATGCACAGGTGGGGAGATACAGCCAATTTGAAAATGATTAACTTCTTTTTTCAAAGATTTGTGTTGCTGCAGAGTCAAAACCAACCAAAAAAGGTTCTTACAGGTTTTATATTCTCAAAATGCGCAGAGAAACAAAACTTGGTCAACATAGACCCAAGTTTTGCACCATGATGCACTTTCTAAAAAGAAATCATTCTCAACTTGGCTGTATCAAAACCAGGTATTTTCTTAGTGGGGTCAAAAACAAGTCCGTCACCCAACTTTTGGAAACAATAAACAACATCAAAGCCTTCACCTTGTGACATATTTGAAGTCCAAGAAAAATCATCATGACTAGGCGTGGGTAGCTGTGGCGCAGAGACAGAAGCTATGTCACTCCACGAGAGACATACGCAAAGATGAGTATTTTTATTCAAATATATATGTATATGAACGATGTGCTTTAGTTTCTTGGTACATCTAATTGGCAATTTTGACAAAGCAGCCAAAAAGGAATCAAGAAAAAAGGACACAAAGCTGCCATCAAGGATTTTAGTTATTAGGTCCTCATTTCTTTTGAGGTTCGGCTGATCCAGTGGTTGGAAGACCAAAGGCAACCTTCACGTAGTCGTAGATGAGCCTGGGGGGGTTGAAGGTCAGCGGCATATTCAATTACGGACCAAGTGAGTACAGAGGATAAACGTACCATTGAAGAGCAGTAAGAGTACCGATCATGACGATACGAGTACCCAAACCAGCCCAGAGTCCACCGAAGCCGATTTCACTGTAAATTGATCCGACCGTTGGCTTGGCAACGCCCTCCTTACCGGCAGCGTTGAGCTTGGAGACCATGGTATCAGCGGGGCTGCAGAAAAAATAGTGAATCACCATCAGCTTCAAGGAGCCCGAAGAGAACGGGTTTGACCATCAAAATCAAACGTACTGTGAGACAACTGCACAGAAGACACCGGCAATATATCCACCAACAAATGAGACACCGAGTTGTTGGAGCTAGGGAATTTCGAAGGGTGTGAGCGTAGAACAGATGTGCGACTAGGATAAGAGACTGACCTTGTTGTACGAGTCTTTGGGTTTACCGAGTGAAGCGTAGATCTTGGTCACAGTGGCCTCGAAAGACCAGAACTTCATCATGGTGTATGGGATTTGACGAGACCAAAGCGATGGAAGAGATTTGTAAAGACCACCAGTTCCTTCGACGGCAGTGAACTTCTTGAATGCGTCAGCCATACCAGAAGCGAAAGGTGGGACAGTGGTTTGCATTCGGACTTTGACGGCCTCAAATGGAACGAAAGCAGCATCGGCGATGACTTCAGCGGAGGCGGATCCAGCAAGGTAGATGGCATCTTTGTATTTGGCAGCGTTGACAGGACCAGCAATATCGGCGTATCTATCATTGAAATGAGCGATCAGGATTTACCAACATGCCGTGAAAATGAACAGGTCATCTGAATCGTTGGGAAAACTCACTTCTTTTTGAAAAACTCATAAAATCCATACTTGCAGGCACCCTGGATAGAATATCCAGCAAAAGTTGGTCCGATACCAGTGCTGCAGGAGAGATCAAAGATGCATTGGTCAATGTTAGCTTCGAGGCTGAGCGGAAACCGCGAGGTAATATCGAACAGACTCAGCACTTACTATAGACCACTTAGTCCGCCAGCTTTGTAAATCTTTGACCAACCATCCATGTTACCTTTGTAAAGGTTCTTGTCGACCTGTCAAAGAGTACGAATTCAGATAAATTACACTCTCAATGATAAAGTAGCAGAAGAAGGACACTGAAAGCTCGGCTCACCTGTCTACGACATTTGACCAAATCAAGAGGAGTAACGAAAGCATGGGTGATACCACAAGCTAGAACACCACCACCTGCACAGGCAGCGTAGTACTTTGGCGTGTAGAGCTCGATGGAAGGCTTGGCAGCACCACCGCCAGTGACTGCACCGATCTTAGACTTGAGGTGTTCAGCTTCCGAGCTCAATTGAGCCTTGGCTCCTTCAAGACCATCCTTGGACTTGGCCTCCAATTCCTTCGCCTTGGACTTAGCATCGTCCAACACACCTAGTTGATCGAATGGAAGATCACAAAGAAAGGCAGAACGTCAGTAAGCTTGATCGAAAGGAAGATGAACAGATATCAGTGACATAGAAGGAAAGAGACTGACTACCGGCTTTGATAGAGTGAAAGGGTGAGGAGATGTTGAGTCCAACCGTTGGCCCAAAAGAGCCAGCGAGGGAGGACACGGAAGGGAAGAGCATCGACATTTCCACCGGGGAATCTAAATGAGAAACCAGAAAATGGATGATACAAGGTTCTATGATAGAATAATCTGACACCACAGATGGGGTTTTTATCGAGATTGAGCAGGCGAGGTGAGAAGGATGGGAAGGGGGAATGGGGACAGCAAAGGGTGATCGATCGTGTCAAGTCCAAAACCGTCCAGCTAAAACAGTTTCAGACATGGTTTAAGTCCACTTAAGACCTTTTAACCCTTCCGCAGCTCAATTTCTTGACCCGCGGACCCGTTTTCACCCTGATCAACTCGTCTCAAACAAGGCCAAAGTCGGATGTCCTCCCATTTCGCATCCGAAAATGTCTCTCCATATGACCCCTTGGCTTCTTCTGACGGCAACTCTGACTCGGGAAAGTCTCAGAAGATTATCAATCCGCTCCTCGCGCTGAGACACGCTAAGAATGGTGCCGCATGGCTTTTACAACAATGTTGCAGTATCCACTGCGAGGAAAGAGGAGGAAAGCTTGCAGAGCTTGGAATCGGAACATTTTAATTTTTACTGTACCCGTAAACATCCTCAAATTTATAGCCCCAACCAATTATGTATATATAGGGGAGGTTTTTGATGTATTGCATAATCCTAATACTATGGCTATTGCGGTGCGGTCTGCAGATTGTGATCAAATGTTTTTACGCACAAGCTGCTTTACGTGGGTGACTCACACATCTAACACCACGCCAATTGGACTGAAAAGATATGACATCATCAAATTAGATGAAGTACTTGCTCAGGATTCCGAGTCTTGGACTGTCTTGGATGATGATCATGATGTCTTCATAGCCGCCTATGTCTAGGACCACAGCAGCTTTCACGGCTGGGGTGCGAGAAAAATTTATCATGTATTGGGATTTTTCCAGCCTGATATACCCTAACCCTATCCCATCTGAGAGCCCTTGGTCTATAAAAACCGCATTACGATCCAACCCAGGGCTTTCCAACCCAACGCGATCATGTCAAATTACCCTCTCCTTGCTGCACGTTTTGCAAATTTCTAAGCAATTACTGAGGGCGCCGAAGCATTGCGTAGATCGATTTGAGTGTCTCAATGCCCACTCTTTAGTTTGTCTACTCTAAGATCCTAAATGATGTCTTCGGGTCTTTTTGTTTTGAATCTTGTTCGGTAAACAAACGGGCTGGTAGCTCCTACATTTCTCTTCCGCATTGATTAATCATTATTTTTAATACTACAACAATAAATGCAACCTACTTGTGTTTGATTGGTGCTTATATGATTTATGATCATGATTACTGCAAAGTGAGGGGGAAAAGAAAATCACAACACCATTTGGAATACATATCAACCTGTGATCAGTGAGTCGGGCGAGCACATGAGTGCGAGGCAACTTGATTCCCAAGAGAATACGATGTTGGCAGGGTAAAGGACTTCAACGGCTGAATGCGAAGGATGACTAAATGTGTAAGAGACTTAGGTACAACAATGGTCTCGGAACTGTGAAGTGGTCAAACAGGTTTAGGAAATTGTGCACTGTTCTGGGTTTGGCATCCCATCCTCACCCAGCAAACCTATGATATTCGCAGAGTTGGTTAGAGGTACGTTTTTCTGAAGCGAGTGGGCTTCATGCTCACCTGGGGGCATTTCTCCAAGGAGCTCCTGTGGTGGCGATCCACAATCTTGCATCTTTGTCAATAGATTAACAACCTCTTTCTGACGTGCCGCGAATTTGTCACCTCCAGCTTTCTCATCTTCGTCCCACGCCGGGTCTTCGAACTTGTTTACCACCGCAGCCACTATCTCAGATTGGGTTTGATATCGATCGACGTCCTCCTTGGGTAACGTGGCCTTACGCTCATTAAGCCATCCAGGATACTATCAATTGAATCAGGTCAGAGGATGAGATCAGAGAACTGGTAGAGGCGGGTGTTGTGGAACCTACCTGTCGATTCATTTCTTTCAAAGGCTCGTACATGATTTGCTTGGACATGAGTTCTTCCATGAATCCTTGGAGCATAGTTTGCAATTGACTTTCGTCTGGCAAGCCACCTTGAGCCGACATCATTTGCTCAAAGAGGGCAGCCAGCTGATCATCGGACGAAGAAGGCGCTACATTTTCCTAATCAAAATAGATTTTACAGGTAATCAAGAAGGTGAGTTGAACGATCAGAGTAGATTCTCAAGGATAGAAGAGGTAGTGGAAAGCCTCATACCTTGGCGGAGACATCTGACTCTTTCAACTTGTCCATCGTGTTTTTGATTGCGTCCTGAAAGTTTTGAGGTGCGCCAGATGCGGTTCCGGCACTTGAACTTCCGGCTTGAGGAGTAGGAGGGGCTTTCGGTGAGGTCGTATCAGCTTCGGCCATAGCACCGAGGGCCTGGAAGATGTTCACGCTAGTCGGATCGCCGTCTGTGGCCATCATTGCCTCAAGATGTTTTTTGAATTCGCCTCCATCTTCTTCCTTCATACTAGATAAAAGTGCCTCCATACCCTCTGCTAAATCTCGAGCAAAGTCATCCGGTAGGGAATTCTGCCAACTTTCATCTTCTGAGCCTGAGCTTTCATTATGACCAGGACTGGGGTGCGCTGAGGGAGGCGAGGGAACGGCGGATGGGGATTCAGTCAAGGTGTTTGACTCTGGTAACTCGGGTTTCGTGGCAGGTTTGAATTGGTCGAGAACATCATCAAAGTCGTCCATGTCATCTTCGATATCTAGGCTCGCGGCCAGTGGTACGTTTGCATTCGACATTTCCAGTACAGTCGACATTCACTTCGTATGATATAGTTTGGATGACTAAATTTGATTGAATATGTTACCAGACGTTTCAGCAGAGAGACAGGCTAAAGCGGCAAAGAGGGAGCAGGAAGTGCTCCTGAAGTTGAATGAGGTCGAGGTTTGTTTATGAATTCTTTGGTTTCATTCTCAATTTAGCGGCCCTTTAAATTCGAAATTTGGCGAAGGTCTGCCATCTATTGGCCCCGCATATCATGTGTACCCGGGTTACAACCCGCCGAAGCTCAATCCAATGCAACTGCAACAGGGTCTGACTCTGTCTTGACTCTTGAGTGTTGATTCATCAATCAAGCATCACCATAAGATAATGTCACGAGAATGTATGGAGGATACTCGGGAAGAGGATTTACTGTCAGACGCCTGAGTGGGTTCATCGCTCAGTGAGTCCTGAACTTGGAAATATATTCACCATGTAGCTCAGGCAGACACACATATATAATAAGTCTCAAAATCATCATGAGATAGCAGCTCTGCAATATGGAGAACGGAGATACAAATAGATATGAATGATTGCGATTTGAAGGTATTTTAGCTGAGATTTCGAAGCAGGAAAACATTGGTGTATAAATCTATGCTTGGTGTGTGATGATAGAATAATAGAAAGAATGCGCTACAAGATGTTGCTGAGAGTGCTGTGATTTTAAATTGTCGCACTACAATATACTACAGGAACACAAGAACAACGATATTTGTATATTTTCCCACCAATTGATATCATTTAGGTACTTTAAAACAGTGAAGAAAGGCGCAAGGACATACGATTTAGTCTAAAATGAACCCAAATGAAGGTGTATGTTGAGAGTTCCAGCCTTTATACTTTGTGGAGATCTTTGTACGATTCATCGATGGTGTCTACATTGTGCATAGCCTTGTAAGATTCAACAACAGCTTGCTGATTGTGTAGCTCTTGGGAAGATGCATCAATGGCTGCCGCATGAGTTGCAAATCTTTCAGGTCTATAGAACCATAAACTAGCTGGCAGCCTATAGGCTCCGAAGACGGCTACTGTGAATAATTGTGGTGAGATCAAGTGTTTTGCGAGCTTCAAGTCTTTTCCCATCCAATTATTTGGGTCTAGCGCTTGGGGTGATGGAGTAGTGACTTTTAAGATGGGCCTTAGTGGAGATGCATTGAGAAAGTTGAAAGTGAATATGTAACAAAGTATGATGTTCAAGATTCTAGACTTCAATGAAGTCAATTTCCCATAGCTTTTGTGCATTGCTAGAATTGAAGTGTTCTTCATCCAAAAAAGATATCAGGATGATTGGAGATATCAGAGGAGTGAACATAGTTTTGAGAAAGAGGATAGGAAGTTGGACTCACTTAAAGAGGGATGATGCTTGCAAAGGAAGTGATTTTTGGATATTTTCTTTGGAAGGCGAAAAGTATACTGCCTCCAGGTGTGATGAGATGGATATCCTACCTTTCATGATAGTCTGAAGATATAATATTTATAAAAGTTCCCCCTCTTATTTTACAGCAATTGGAACTGGATCGGAGATCTGAATGAACTACGGAAGAGAGGCTCCGGTTGGTCGAAATTTCGCCCATCCCCTAAACCACTCACACGTTTGGAAATTTGTCAAAGGCGCAGAATCTATATAAGAGGAGATCATCGTCTCATCAAGCTTGTGGCAAAATTTGACTCGAGGAAGGTTCAAAATTATGCAGTCAGTTTTGAACAAGCCAACCAAAGTTCTCTGCCAAGCTGCCGGTCAAACTTCTTTCGATCTACCGTATACATGACCGCAGCTATAACTGAAATGAAACCTGGTAATAATGTGCACCTCGATTTAATCCTAATCACGTAGCTAGTGGTGCACGTTGAAAAACGGGCTCTCGATCTGTTTAATGATTTCATCGTTAGATGTTAAGCAAATATTATCCATACAACGATTGAGTATATGGTTTATAGTAGGTGTTCTTTGTGCCTGTAGTAGTACGTTCGGTTTCACAAATGACATCGTCTAGGCCACCGGAAAGGGGCTTATCATCCCACGTGTGTATTTCAAGTAAGACAAAATCTTGGAAAGCTTATCCTGAATTCTTTGTCTTTGCTCTACAGTTCTGGGAGCTATGCCTCTCATAGCGGCGCGTAGAGGCAACTTAGCAGTGATTTTCTCTAGCGATGTATGTTGTAAAATCCGTGTTTATAAACTGACGGTTCAGAATCAAGAGTTGAGAGGGCATTCCTCCAAAAAGCGACTTGAGAAAGACTGAACTGGAATGCATGATAGTAGAGTGAGGAAGCTTGATGTGTAGTTTTTTTTTTGAAATAATCCCGTTGATGAATTCATTCTCTTGCTACTCATCAATATATGGCCAACCAAAAAAAACAGATTGATTGTCATCTGGAATCTAGGCAGGAATTGGGCGGGCTGATCAGTAGAGTTTTGAATTTCAAAGACTTCGCCTGCTTGCTATGGATTTACATATGTAGATGCACTGGAACTCCTATTTTCGATAAAATTCGAAGAAGAAAGTTACAAAGATGAATTCAAATACTTCAAAGCCTCATGTTTTGATATAGCTCAGCGTAATGCATTAGAGACAACTTTGGGAAACAACAAGTGGGTAGCGTGTAGTTATCTCAATGATACACCATCATTCAGCTTAAACGCGTATTCAGGATATTGAATTAAATCCAAAAAAGGAAAGCATGCTGTGTTGGTATAGCGTAGAGTAATGCACAAGAAAAAAAATGGGAGCCATCAAATACGTAGACTGCAGTTACCTTGATCACATAGAATTCCGATTTGGAAGTTGAAGCAGATCAAAAATGTGTGGCTAGGTAAAGCAATAATTCCTCATCATCATCGAAGAAGAAATGTAACAGAATCTTGCGTCGGGCGATAAGAAACTTGCTTGATGCGTTTATATTCCACTAGGGCCTATGAGTAGACTTGAGTACGTGATGATGTCAATGAAAATAGATTAAGATATTGTATACCATTCTTGCCGCTATTCAGCCGGATTTTGAATTTTGATGCAAGTCGAAAATAATTCAGAAAAAGCTCTTTGGTATTTGCCACGATAGATGAAATTATGAGCGAAGAAAAATACGAAAAATGAGTTCAGGATTGAACCTAGACTCCGAGAGAAATTGGTAGGGGTCAGCAAAATCGGCTTTCCTTGTAATTGATTTTAAGATACTCACTCCATGAATCTCTTTTTCATAGTGGATGCTCAAAATGAAGGTCCAAGCCGAGATCAGGGGCACGCAAATTTTTGTCTAATGTACAGACTCCACTGCTCCCAACAGGTCTGGAAAAGATATAACCAGAGAAGCATACAAGAATGAGCTCGACTAATAAGGCTCGGTTTAATGCAGTTAATTTCATATTGTATGGGATTTCTACGTAGTATTCTTTCTCGTGATAAATGCAACTTCAAGGATGTAAGATTTTTAAGATAGTGATGCTAACTTGGTGAGATGAGGTGTAGGAACGAGAGTCGAGGAATGAATGCGACATGAATAATCTCAGATGCTCATCTGTTTTATAAGTTTTACGGATTTTAACACTTCCCTCAGGTAAATCATGTTTTGCGCTTTGCCTGCAGTTCATGTCAAGATGAGGCACGGCAAAGGCTTGGAAATGTGTTATTGATGTAACGCTTCAGTCGAGTCTTGGCAGATCCACGAGTAAGCTTATCCACGAGTCACAAAGATCTCCTGCGAGTGACTCGCTATACACGATCATTTGCCAGAGTTGAATGCAGCACATTTCAATATCGAAAATCTGCTTTTTTTTTGTCTTGCTCAACTGCGCGTCATGTCTCATCTCATTCGCCCCGTGGAATGCAGAGTGACTCGTCCTCAGTTTCCTAGCCCGGTCTGTTACATATTATCCATAAAGTCAGCATTTCTCTGTGTTTTACTGGTATGGTGCACTGCACGTGGGCAATTCGATGCGGATGCCTCTCGGCAAAAATCAACAAAATCCCTCGATGCCTCGAGTTGCAAGTTAGGGAAGCATACAAATCAGCTGCAGCCTGCTAAGCATCCAGTGAGTTCTAATACTGCGGTGTATCACATTCCATTGAATAGGAGCGTAATTTGGGTCTGTTCTGTCGACATCGCTCTTCTCCTTCTTGTTTCACTCGGCTGAACTCTGGGTACTCTCACAGACTCGTCTCTGCTTCAGCTGCAATTTACTTTGCACCACACGTTTCCTTTGAAGCTTCAGTGGAAGGAATGCCGAAAAGATGCTGCTGCAGAAGATCGTATTGTATGTGCTACCAACAGGTATGTAGTTAACTTGAACTAAGCCCCTCTCAGAAAAAACGAGTGGGCTCACAAGACGAAGAATGTTCGCTTGCCAAGGCGGAGCGGAGATGAGACCTCTTCGCTTCAGTGCTGTGCTGTGGCCCTGGTCCGAGTACCACATACAGCAAGACCCATTGACGGAGACCGACCCAGACCGACCCGATTGCTACCCGGGACATGATATATGCATCTGACGTAGTGGTGGTTTTGGGATCAAAAGATGAGAACAAGTCATGAAGTCAAGAGACTCAATCAGAGATGGAAAATGGGGAACAGTCATCGAAAACCAACGAGATGGTTCAAACCAGTGCGACTTCAACAGGATCGATCGAGGTCAACAATAACCACAATGACAATACCGACACCGCATCTCAGCATCAGTCTAGCAGTAGCAATGCAAATCAAGACAATATGATTTCTGCTTGGAATCGAGCAATTCGTTTTCCCAATGCAGCCCAACCTGAAATCAGTTGAGCCTCGCTCGTCATCTTTGCAAAGCTCCACATACCTCAATAAATCTTTGGTCCGATCACACTGAGCATTCGATTTGGTTTTGCGTCCCATCATCATTCAGTTAGAGCCGATCAAAAAGATGCCTACTTTATTTCCACATTACAAGATATGCTAGAGTCATCCATACGTGGTATCGTGGGTGTGTATTTAGTACATTGATAACTGGTTTACTTGGTCTTGAAAGAAACTGAGATTTATGTTATTGACAATCCAGGTGCACGTTGGCTTACATCTCACTCAAATGGCATCCGAGATGCTGTTCACTTGTTCTATTATATCCTTACCACACTGAAAGGTATGCAGGATGGACGCCTCGATGAACAACATTTTTCAGCAAGACCTGACACCACCCTCTGTATTTTCAGCATCACAAACCTTAGGTGAAGAGTATTGTGGGATATTGCAAGTAGACGCAGCAACAGGCAGGTTTCCATCTTGGAAGGTCAGAAGAATACCTTTTCTTCAACTTTGCCTCAAAGACTGAAATTGCCTGATCTCTCTTCGAACTGAAAGCGACGTGCACTTTTCATTTTGACAAATATTTATTCGACTAAATTATTGAGCGCTTTTTACGCACGGATTCGATCACGGTTGACCTCTGTTGATGGTCAAGAATCTGATTTGTTGGAGGATACAACTTTGAGCGAACGCGAACCTCAATCTTCTTACGATCGGCTTAAAAGGTTTCTCTTGCCTTGGACCTCGTGGCTTCCCAACACTTTAGATCTTAGAACCTACCATACCATCAGCTCACTTCACCTGGCCATTTTTTATCTCACTGGTCGATATTTTCATTTATCAAATCGTCTCACTGGGATTCGATATGTGAGTATTCCATCATCTTAGAGTGTATCAGTATTTTGACCGACTAATAAAATAAAAGAGTAGATTTCAACCCAGGTACGCCGAGATCAAAACGGGAATCGAGTTCAACCACCGTCTTACGAGTTTCTGGGACTTCTGATCGTTATTCAACTCATCGTCAAATCAAGTGTCTTATTCAAAAACGCTCAAAGAAGAAGGCAAGCAGAATTATCGATCAAAGAGACTGTCTCAAATGAAAAAGACAAGCAAATTGCAACTGAGCCTTCTAATCGACCTCCAACTGTTGATGGTATCCCAATCAATGATATCTTGTTTGAGCCGGACGATGACGATGATCAAGAAAAGTCCGATTCAAAGTCAACAGAAGTCTTTGTGGAAGGCGTCGAGATGAATCCGAATCGAGATGAGTCATCCACATCAAGTCGTTGTACACTTTGTCTTGGGCCTAGACTCGATCAAAGTAGTTTGGAATGCGGTCACGTATTTTGCTGGAGATGTATTCTAGGATGGGTTCGAGAGAAAGTAGGTTTTCTCAATCTGACTTGCATTTTATTCATGATTGTTTGAGTTTGCTGATCGAGAGTTTCACAATTCTGAATCATGATTTTGTGTGTGGTTGGTGGTCAGCCCGAGTGCCCATTGTGTCGGCAAACTGTCAAGATCAATGAATTATTACCTTTGTATAATTTTTAGCTATGCTTATCGGCGCAATATGGTTGGATCACTAAGAATTCTATGTAGGTGCTTGTAATTTGATTGATGCGCAATTTTGTCTGGCAAGATTTCTGAAACATCCCCATTTGGGATGTAATTGGGCTTGATGATTCCTTCAAGGCTGATATGCGTCACATTAACCGTCCTTGAAGTTTCCACATGAGCTTGTTCATGTACCTCATGGACTGGGTGAAGGTAGTAGTGGGGATTTTCGACTTCAAGTCCTCGAAGATCAAGCATCTTCACAGAACGTGACTGGAGCACCAGAATCCAACGCTTCTTTGTATTTAGAGACAGAAGAGTACAAGGATGAGTTCACGAGCCTTGCACTGGATAATCCATTTCATGGTCGGTTGATTATCGCGCCTTTGTGTATAACAATACTGAAAATCTGAATCGCAATCCACCGCGACATATGTTTGTGTGTGTCGAAGTAGACACACAAGCGGTAACCGCTAGATGAAGATGAAACTTTAATGAACTCTCGTTACGATTTTTCCTAAACGAGTGTCGCGGTATGTAACTGCACCGATGGATTGTAGTAAGTTTACTTTGAAGCGACTGGACAGCATTTGATGGCAAAGAAAAGTTGAGAAATTGAGTTTAAACTTTGACTGGAAGGCTTCGCTACGAAGGATGATCCTTTGAACTGTTCCCGACTCATCGAGCCGAAAATCAATCACACCCGTGTAGACAGAGCCGTACCAGTGCACCACCATCACCATCACATTTTAATAAGTGACGTGAACACAAGCTGGACTATAACATCGCCCACCTGCCACAACTGTATGTCGACCAAGAACTGAGTAGAATTCAGAACTTTGGGCTTCGGAGAATTTGGCGGTGAGTTTGTTCAACTTTCATTTCAATCCACTCATTCTACAATCTTTGATCCTAATCCTTGAATTTGAAAATGTCGATGCTGCTCCGACTCCACCTCCACACACATATATATATTTCAACCAGAAATTCCCCTAAAGTAGAAATTGCTTCAAAGAAACTAAAGATGTTCAAATTATAGAAATTATAAGTGTAATTCATAAACTGATAAGTATTTTGTCACACAAGCCAGACTTTCCCTTTCTAATCTATGTGAATGATTTTAGTTCGCTTGTTGATCTTTTTCAATCATTAGTGTTACCTCGGCACTACAACGCCTCTTGATAAAGCTTTTAAAAATTCCATTTTCGTCAAGGTGAATAATTTTTCGACTACTTTGATTATCCGTCTAAACCTGAACTTGTTACTTTGGCGTTCGTCTTTCCACTAATCATAGTTTTATAGGAAAAAGATAGTATAGTAGACCTTATTGAATTCAGAAGAAAACAAAATTGAAGATTTTTGATTATTCCAAGGTTTAGCCACCACTACACGTTAGTCCATCAGTCTAACAAAAAGGAATCGATTGAATAAGTAGAATAATCTCAAGGTTTTCTTGAAGAAGTAAATCTTGAATAATCACAAACCTCTCATCGTTTTTACTCATTCATCTTGTCTTTACCATCTTTAACTTTTCCTTTTTCTTAATCTACATCATCAAAATCTGAATTTTGGTGTGATCTAATAATTATCTTCGAATAGTCTTATTGTCTGGGGTTCTGCCACATAAACTTTTGACCTTTGAATCTGTCCCATTTTCAACTTGATTTCTCTTGATCTTGTTCATTCATTCATTCCAGAAAAAGTCTTATACATCAAATATTGTCTCTCTTTTTTTCTTTCCGACGAAAAAATTCTTCCTTTTGGTTTGGGGGTTTCCTTCTTGCTTATTATATAGCCTTGATTACATTCACCATACTCATTGTCTTTCATTTTTCGTCTAAACTGTCGTTTGAACCTAGAAAGAACAGAGTGATCTCAATACATATTCATAATAATTCATTAGCTATTGACCACCATGGGATGTTGTGCTAGATTTCAAAGAAGTTTTTCAGCGCTTTATCATTGGATAAAGAATATTTTCAAGTCTACTCTAGGAGTTTCAAACTGGCATAAAGAATCCTTTGTAAGCTTAAAATTTTGTTCATCAAGATTAATCACCTTTGCGTGATGAAACTGATATTTTTCCAATGTTGTGTCGATTTAACTGAAAAAAATAGTCGGATCAAACTAATCTATCAGTAACTGATTCTCACCCAAATTGGTCACTTCCATTACCAGCAACAACTTCACCATCAAAAGATGATCCCGAGAAATTTTATGGTTCGAAAGATATAGTAGAAGAAGCTAGAAAAGATGAACCTATTACACCAATCTATTTTGCTTCATCAACAGTCAATGTCAATATCAATGGATCTCAACAATCACACACTAGTCTCCCAGTTTCACGTAAACCTCCTCCTGGGATTGCTACAGCGAGGGTATCAAGGTTGAGGTTTGATTCTAACGGGACGGACAACCACGATAGAGTAAGTAGAAAACTTTTCAGGTCTTTTTCAAAGAAGCAAAAAAACTAAATGTCGTTTTTGGTATCGTAGCATCGAGTCAACCTTCGACCTGATAGTTTATCATCACACCTTCGTGTTTCGTCTACAACTTATTCTGATTTAGATGCTTATACAGTATGGGACTCAGCAAGTGATGAAAGTGTCCCGTTAGGTCAATTATCATTCTCAGGTCCAATCTTACCTTATTTTTCTTCACCTTTACCTCCCTTATCTTCTTCTTCAAAGAGTTTTCTAACCGATTTAAAAGATTTAGATCCAAGACTTAGAGAAGCAACTGTTACTAGAAGATGATATCACCAATAAATCAAATTTCATCATTCAGTTTGATTGCTTATAATCATTACATTCTACAATCATCGCTATCTTTCGTTTTCTCTAGTTTGAATTTGTACAGTTTGTATCCAGTATATGTTTTTTTTGCAATTCATCAGACTCAGTCTTTGACATAAACCTCAACTAAAATTGTCACAACTTTAGAACCTACCAATAATTATCTGTTTTGGTTGAGTGAATTTTACACAAATCAAGGATATATAAGAAAAACATCAAAAGAATCCATAGGGTAAAGAGACGTTGAATCAAGTATAATTAAGCCATATCCATTCTATCAGGTGTTGGTACAAGTCCATCTGGTGGCAATTGAGGTGTTGGATGATTTCCATTAAGGAATTGAGCATTATTACCAAACCTTCCATCTTCTCCAATAAACTCTCCTGCATTTGATGCATCTCGAAGGTAGGAAACACTTCTTTTCTCGTCCAAGAAGAGTGTATAGACCCTCTTAATGTCGGCTACATCTACTTCTTTGGCCTTCCGTCGCTTGGCTACAATTGATGCAGTTGTGATCAACTGAATTCCATACCTGAATTGAGAATTTTTCATGGATGGTCAATTGAATTTGAAAATTATTACTGGATAGGGTGTATATGAATGAAGGGTACTGTACCTGAGAGAGCTCTCTGAAGCTATCCGAGTAAGAATATCGAGTGCAGTTGGTGTGAGGGTAACTTCTTCTTCGTCACATCTAAGGTGCGAGATCATTTTTAAGAAACTCGATAATCTTACACATATGACATGGAAGCTTCTCACCGAATGGAAAGAATATGCTTTACTTCCTCGGGTAAATAGGGAGAAGTACTAATGATGAGGGCTCGATCCAATAGATCCATTGGTACACCATGAGGACTTTTGTACTTTGTACCTCGAATCCTTGCCCACCCTCGATTAGATGCCATGATAACAATCGGCGCCAGATCAGTTTCGAGTGCCCGATTCAGGAATGAGAAACATTCGATATCAAGCATATGAACCTACGAGGGAGTTTAGGTAAAACGTTAGCTGAAATTCGTAGTAAGGCAAGGCAGAAGCAAGCGAACCTCATCAATGAATAGCACTCCAGGTACAATTTCAGCTTTGCCTTCTTCCCTCCAATCTGCTACTTTTGAATTAATCTGATCTCTCAATTCAGGCTTAATCTCACCCGTCTCACCACTGAAAAGTGCCAAAAAACCTTGTGTCCTCGAGTTAATGACGTCTATTTCATGTAATGAAACTGTATGCACCACCTGTTTCTTGGTTTGAAGTTCGCCCTCTGGGCATTGTACAAATTTGGTCTGATTGAAGGAATTGTAAAATATCCGAAATAGACAAAGAAGCAACGTCATTAGTTTTTGAGCGGATTCTCGGAAAAGTATCAAGATCCTTCAACTAACTTCAGCACCGATAGCGTCATAATCACGAGCACGTGCAAAACTTCTTCCCACTTTGGTGATCTTGCCGGTTGTTTTGTCAATCACGATCACGTCACCTGCGATAACTTTTTCTTTGTTAAGGCTTTCAATCATCTTATGACCGAGATCGTAGATTGTTTCCATATCACTTGTCTTCATTGTCAGTTTTCCCGTTTTAGCAGCCTAAAGATAAATCAGACGCGACAGAAATCAGGTTGAGTAAAGATATAATCCAAATTTGATCAATTATCGATTGATGCGAGACTGACTCCGGTCAAACTTCGATCCACTTGAATTTCTACTACCTCCCCTTGAATGACTTCACTTTCTTCTCTAATCCTGACTCCAATTGACCGCCTGAAAGCTTGGGTGAGTGATTCAGTCTTTGACATTTCGAGTGAGAAGATCTCAGAGGCCGAAAGAGTGGTAAAGGGTACATCAGGTCCAAGTGATTGCGCCATGCCTTATTTCGATGGAAAAAACGCGATTAGACCAAAAAAATTCTATCAATATCCACAATGTCCACAGTATGTAGTGAATTGAAGAGATGCAAACTAGCGTACGTACCCATCGCGATAGCTGTCTTTCCTGAACTAGGTGGTCCTGCCATTAAGATTGCACGACCAGCAATTCTACCTTCTTGAACCATTTTAAGTATCACACCTGCTGCTCTTCTTGCTTTGGTTTGACCGACCATTCCTTGAGCATTAGGTTTAGGTTCAAGTCGATCATCTAAACCAAGTCCACGGATATGTGAATGTGCTCCTATCCTTTCTAATTTTGTTACATCTCTTACTTCGCTTGATGATGTGATAAGTGGTGTTGCCTATTGAAATGAAGTCCAAGTTACCAGTTAGTTTGAGTGTATGATTTGCTTGATAGCTTGAGTTCGAATGACTTACCATCTTGATAGTTTGCTTGATGAGAATTGATATCTTATTTTGGTTGGATTCTGTTTGATCTCGTATTTTGTATTTTTTGAGGATGTATGCAGAATACGCAGCTCACTCGGCACAAGCATATCCCTTGTAGTAGCATTCGAGGCTTCACCTTTCACAGCTTTTCTGTAGCCTGTTGACTTGCTGTCACACTCCGCAAATGCAGTCAATATTCAAAGGGACCAATGAGGACCAATGTGATGAGTACAATGCAAATATCTTCAAAGACAATTAATGCTGTATGTATGATATATTTCATCAAGCATTTGGAGTATGATTCAACCTTGGATAGTCCAGAATTCAGGACAGGAAGTCAAGTGCACAACATAAGAAAGCATGTGCTCAAGCCTCGAAGTAGCCACTCATGAAAACCTCATGAAATAGTCTGCATGTTGTAGATCAAGTTGGAAAAGAAGTTGTTACTGGAAATTTTTGAGCTTGATGCCATTGTACATACATACCAGTGGTAAGATTCATATTGGGCACTGTGAGGCAAGAGCAGCACAGTGTACAGACAACAAGAAAAGAGGTGTCAGTGTTGCTGGTAAGATGATGGAATGATGCATTCTATTATGCATCCAGGGAGTCACAAAAAAACACAAAAGTATAAAAAAAGTGACCAAAATCAACACTTTGTGGGAACATCTTTTGAATTTTGAGTCCCACAATTGTAAGAAGCTTCAGGGTGTGCAACCAAAGTACCATCCAAGAGGTAACCTTATGTTATTTGATGAAGTTCAAAAGGGCCAAATCAAAACAGGAAGAAAGATTGAGAGAAGAGGAGATCACCTGAAAATTAAATCCAGATTTTTCAGGGTGGACTTCTCATCCATTGACTATACTTTCCAGCCAGGATTATCTGTTGAACTCCTTTATCATACCAACAAGAATCAAATGGCTTCTCCCAGCTCCTCTACCAATTTTATCCACCACCCCTTGGCACTCAAGGTTGTGCAGTTTGAGGGCACTCTCAATGCATGTGACCTTGACTGACATGATCTCCAGGCTGGTAAACATTTGAACATACTGGACCCCGGATGGATTCTTTTACCTGGGAGGCCTGGTCCTAGTCAAGAATACTGGTATGCATTGAGGACCCAGAAGAAGCACTTTTTGAATCTTGGCCTGATAGATCTTGAAATCATGATACATACGTAAGATTCAAGCCTTTTGAGCCAACCTCTCATTTTTGAAGGTGTTGCATTGTGCAGCAAGGAATGATTGCAGCTGCTGTTCACTCTCTGAACCTTCAGTTGTCATTTCAAGCTTCTGACTACACTCCAATATGATTTTAAATTATTACATACCGGATAAAGCTTCAGTTGGTCCAGCTTCTGCCCATGACAAGGGTGTTGGGGAGAGCATTGTTCAGATCCCAAAGGTTTTGTGACTAAAACTCAAAGTTTCGACTTCCCAGACGGCTTCACTTTCAGCCTTCAGGATACGTGCCCCATTACAATCATAGCGAGGTACAGTTGTAGTAGTATGGTGGTGGGGGTTGTGTAAACGAGTGTCGAGGGTGAGGGACTTTTAACCCCATCGGCTTTCAAGCCTCATCAAATCATACAAGCTTCCAAGAAAGGAGAACTCCAACCAAAAGCACAAAGGAGACAGTCGATACCATCAAATCTTCGATCGAACAACAAACTACATAATCGGAACCCACCTTGCATGACTGGCTCATCTCTCCTCTTTTCAAGCAGTCTACAAGCTTGCTCTCATCACTTACGGGTCGGTCTCTATACTCTCGGTGTTTTGGTTATGTTGATGAGCTACATTTTTGATTACACGATAGACCTCGATAGACCTCTTCTCAAGGATATCGCATCGATCCATCATCACATTATACTTTTGAATTTGAATAACAGATGGTTGAGATTAACCCGATGAGCGGTTACCGTTCGACCAATGAAAATCTCAACTGTCTCCTCAGCTGAAGTTGATTCCAAATAAACATGATTTTACTATTTCAAGTTGATGATCGATGATCGATGATAAATTATCAAGCTCTCCTGTGTCTATGTATCTCGTCTGAAGGATCACCCACCTCATAGTGAAGCACAACTGAACCCTTTTCCCTTTGACTCAGCAATTCATTTCTTCATCATCTTTTGGTCACCCTGAGCATTTTTCATCATAGAATTTCATTCTTCATCTTATTCTCATCATCATTTCTTTCTGTCTCAAACATTCATCTTGATTATTGAGGCGTTCGCTGGCACACAATGATGGGTGCTTCAAAATCAAAATCTCAACGAAAGTCTCAGTCCTTACAATCCACAACACACCAGCTGCCTAATGACACTCATCTCAATGATGAACCCTCACTCAAGAAGAAGTTGGATCAACCAATCACATCTTCATCTGCAAGCCTCTTTCATTCATTTTACTTTTTACTTTTTCCTTTTCAGCATTCATCTCAACTCTCATTTATCTTCGTCAAAGCATTTCTCATTATTTCCAACTGCCGAGTTATCCGACATGTGTACTTGGTAGATTTGTCTACTCTTTGGAAGTCTTGTGTTGTTCATGTCCAATCCTTCATACACTTTTGATGTGTACGTTGATCTGGGGCTACACATGGAGCCATCTATGCGCTCTGCTTCCGAAGCCTTCAAAGGCCCTTTTCACCTGCTAATGTTGATGTTGAACAGTCTGGGCTATTTGTCCCAAGAAAAGGGTTCGCACTTTGAACTTTGAAGTCCTCAATCAATTAAGCTTATCTAGAAATACATTCCGCCATGACTTGAATATTTGAATGGTATCTTCCGCCATTTACAGACATCATTTACATGGTGACTCGTCATTCCATTGGGGGTACATAGAACAAACACTGATTTCCCTCTCTCACTTGTAACGCTTCTCTCCTCGAGCATTCACCAATTCGATTTCTCAATTTTCTTTCGCTTCTTCATCCGATTATCCATCTTAGATTACATCTGATTTGTGAATTACTTCTTGATTACTTTTTGAATACGATCATCAGCGTGCCTCGTCTAAGATGCCTTCGGCAACTGCTCCTTCCACAATAACCGCTCGAACAGCCGAGTTAGTAAGACATTTAAATACCGCGGCTTCAGAGCCATATCCTGGTCAGTTTTCAAACATCGTATATCAAAAATCGATCTATTCGATATTTCCTTAATCGATCAAGACTCATGAGTACTTACGTATCACCAGGTCTTCACAAGGTCAAATCGCTTCGAGCCGCTGCAACGGTTCGTGATCCATTCACGAATGAGGATACAGGATTCCCAAGTGATGTTCGTCAAGGGATGGGTATCCGAGGGTTACTTCCTCCAGCGGTCGAAAGTCTCGATATGCAAATGGCTCGTGTACTCGATCAAATGAGAGTCAAACGAACTACGATCGGTCAAGTTGAGCTTTTGTTTTGATAACATGATCGATCATCGACATTGTGTCTTACTTTGATCATGATCGATATGAATACAGTATTGTTATCTTTCCAACTTGAGACAAAGCAACGTCAATCTGTTTTATCATGTCCTGTTAAAGAATACTGCAGAAGTGGTCCCATTGGTCTATACACCTGTAGTTGGAGAAGCATGTATCAAGTGGTACGTCTTTCTTGAATAGCCAATAATGATGTACATCTTTCTCAACACTTGGTTTTATTTCGTTCAATAGGTCACATATCTATCAACGTCCTGGTCCGTCAAGAGCCCGTTCCACTCTTCATTCTTTTTGTCTTGAACCAAGCCTCCATTGGCTTATGGCTTGAATTCTTTCTAGAGGGTTTATATGTCAGTTGGAACGATAGAGGTTCTATTAAGGAAGTCTTAGGCAATTGGCCTATGCCTGAAGAGGCTCGTATTTGTGTGGTGACGGATGGATCTAGGATATTGGGTAAGTCTTTGTATTGTACTTTGTTCTGAGTCTGACCACTTTATTCATCATCTATCTCGCTATTCACAGGATTGGGTGACCTTGGGATCGGAGGAAGTAAGCTCAAGATCACACTAGCATCACATCCGTCATCACTACCCTACTAATGTAGGTGTGTGCGATCACAGTGGGTATTTCCGTTGGAAAATTATCACTATATGTTGCTGCTGCAGGGTGCGTATCTCTTTCTTTTGAAGCTGTATATAAAAATCACTCTGATTGAAGTTGTCCTACTTTAGCATTCGACCATGGGCCACTGTTCCGATCTGTATCGATCTTGGTACTGACAACGAGAAGAACTTGAGCGATCCATTCTATCTAGGTCTTCGAATGAAACGTCGATCTAAAGCTGAAGTAATGCCTGACCCTCTGGATTCATACTTTGATGCAAATTTGTGTAGGATTTGCTTGATACTGATAATGATATACTATTATGGATTTATCAGGCCGAAGTGTTTATGGATGAGTTTATGGAAGCTGTTCATGCTACTTTCCCAGAGCTTGTGATCCAACATGAGGATTTCGCTACGGAGAGAGCCTTTGATGTAAGCTCATATGTTCACGTGAGGTGTATAGACCCAACTGACGATTCAGTACCTCTTAGTATCTTGAAAAATACCAACCTAAATATCCCATGTTCAATGAGTGAGTACTGCATCGGATCAATGTTTCAAGTACTTGCACGCTGATTGAGATGTTTTCTATCATGTAGTGATATCCAGGGTACTGGAGCAGTCATCTTGGGTGGTTTCATTAATGCTGCTCGATTGTCTGCCGCAGCAAGCAAACGTGACCTTAAAGATCAAAGGATAGTCTTTATGGGAGCGGGAAGTGCGGGTGTAGGTGTAGCTAAACAGCTCTTATCTTTCTTCTGTAACTGGGGCATGACAGAGGAGGAAGCCAAGGAAAGAGTCTGGCTCGTTGACACAAAGGTATAGAAAATGTTGATGTGTTAATTGTCGATCAGATCGCACCAACTGATGATCTTCTCGATATATAGGGACTTGTGACTGAAGATCGAGGTGACAGACTAGCGGCTCACAAGGTTTTCTTTGCTCGAAAGGCCGGTGGGCCTCAATTCAAGTCTTTGATTGATGTGATTCGATCAATCAAGCCAACAGCTTTGATTGGTTTGGCTGCGACGGCCAATCTGTTTGATGAAGCTGTGGTCAAACTGATGGCTGAGTTTAACCCTCGACCCATCATCTTTCCCTTGTCTAACCCAGTACGTTTCTTCATAATTGCACTTTCCGCTGTTTGTTGAAGATAGATGTCAAGGAGGTTCTCTAACAATTCATGTATGTATTTCTTTAGGTACATTTAGCTGAATGTACTTTTGAAGAAGCTGTTAAATGGACAGACGGTCAAGTTTTGTTTGCCTCTGGTAAGACTTTTGATCAGAGGCTATTGATTTTGATTAATAAGTAACAAAACTGATGATGTTATTTTACAGGATCTCCTTTTGCTAGCTCAGGATGGCGAGGCAAGACAATTGAGCCTGGACAGGGTAACAATATGTATGTGTTCCCAGGTATTGGGCTAGGAGCGATCTTAGCACGGGTCAAGACGGTATCCGACAAGATGATCGAGGCGTCCGCCTTGGCTCTTTCGGATGCCTTGACCCCAGAAGAAAAAGAGGCGGGATTACTATACCCCAGGCTTGACAGGTAAGCTCTGTGTTGATCCATGAAGATGATGATCTGAAGACTAAGCCAAAGAACTTTTTAGAATCCGAGAAATCAGCACTGTTGTGGCTCTCCGAGTCATCAGGCAGGCACAAGAAGAAGTAGGTGTTGATATCTATCTAGCCTTATGAAAAGTGGATCAATTGCTGATATATTGAGGATCACCTTTTCTGAACTTCAGGATTTGGTTGGAAACGCCATTGTACACAAACTAGACGATGAGGAGCTCAAGAAGTATATTGAGCAAAAGCAGTATTGGCCAGAATATATGTCTGTTGAACACTTGAACCGAGCTATTTCTCCTTAGAAGCAATCACAATGACATTTTTATTAATGAAATCAAGTATATATTCCTATTCCAAACGCATGCAATTTTACATTTATTGCAATTTATTGATTAGTTTGTTGAAATAAACTTGATGGTAAGCTTCACAAGTTAACTTGTTACTGAACTTGAAAATGACAGATTAATGATGTGGGATTGAATGATGAGTATGGGGTCTTGAATCAAGGATGAGTTGGTGAGGTCTTGTGATCGATTAGCCAAAGAATAAGAGATCCCTTGGAGATGAGTCCCGTGAATGATGAGCCGTTTCAAAGATGATGTCATACAGGATGAATGTCTCCTTGATGGCATGGGATGAGCTTCCTAGAGTCTCGTGATTGGCTCATTAGTCATGAGAACCAAGAGAAAGGGTTTGGTTTGTATCAGATGACTGCTGAGATGACGATCGATAGAGTTACGATTAAAATTTAGGATTACATATAAAGTCTATCTAGTATCTTGACTGTTTGGTTTACATTCAATTCCTACACAGCAAACACTCTAACAAAATGACTTCAACTTCAGACCAAACTCAATCCAGCCAACCTACTCATACTACTCAAGAACTCATCTCACTCGAACAAACTTATGGAGCTCACAAGTAAGTCATCATCACATCACATTCCAATCCATCATATCATATAGCTAATCCTAATTTATCCATCCCATCAATCCCAGTTATCATCCACTTCCCATAGTCTTTTCAAGAGCAGCCGGATGTAAAGTATGGGATCCAGAAGGAAATGATTACATTGATTGTTTAAGCGCTTATTCTGCAGTAAACCAAGGACATTGTCATCCTAAAATCATTCAAGCACTTATCCATCAAGCTCAAACTTTAACTTTAGCTTCAAGAGCGTTTTATAATTCTAATTTAGGTTTGTTTTCTCAAAAGATTTCTAATACGTTTGGTTATGAATCTATGTTACCTGTGAATACGGGAGTTGAAGCTGTTGAAACTGCCTTGAAATTGGCTAGGAAATGGGCTTATATGAAAAGTTAGTTTTGGATTATCTTACCTTTTTGATGTAAATTTTCGTAAGAGTTTCCCTTTACTCACGTGAAGAGATTGGTTACTTTTTTGATTCAATAGAGGGTGTACCACCTGGAAAAGCGATCATCATCAGTGCTGATGGTAATTTTCATGGAAGAACGTTGGGTGTGATTGGAATGAGGTCCGTAAGACATTCGATTTGAACATCCTATACTGATCATTACACTTATCTTGATTTTTTTCATTAGTACGGATCCAGTAGCTCTAGAGGGTTTTGGACCTTTTCTTGAATCCATTGGATCTCGTTGTCCACGCTCGAGTGGGGATGACAATCGTTTGGTTCGATACAAGTTTGTTACTCTAGCTCTCTTTTTCACTGATGCGGATCTTTGAATGGACACTAAACATTCAATTTCGTTCTGGTGCTCATCACGATGTGTGGAAATGTAGTGTTCTAAGTGATCTTGAAGCTGCACTAAACGCACATGGTCCTCATACAGCGGCTGTTTTACTCGAACCGATCCAAGGAGAAGCAGGGTAAGTCAAAATCAAATTCGATTCTCTCCAATTTTCCCATGTCACGCGTGTTTTGCCTTACGTTTTTGGGTTGGTTAAATTTTTTCAAGTGTATTTGTACCAGATGATGATTACCTTCTTAAAGTACAAAAACTTTGTCGTGATCATAATGTGTTATTGATTATTGATGAAGTACAAACTGGATTAGGAAGAACCGGAAAACTGTAAGATATGACCATTCAAACCTTGAATCTGAAAGACAAACCGATACTAAAAGATTGATTTTATTCAATAGACTTTGTCAGCACCATCATCAAGGTTTAAGAGCTGATATAGTCACCTTGGGAAAAGCTTTATCAGGTGGAGTGTATCCAGTTTCAGCTATCTTAGCGGATCGAAAGATTATGGATGTCATTCGCCCTGGTGAACATGGTTCTACTTTTGGTGGAAATCCTTTGGCTTGTGCTGTTGCTACGGCTGCTATTGATGTTTTGATTGATGAAAAGATGATGGAAAGAGCTGAAGAGATGGGAAACCTTTTGAGATCTGGATTAGAGGTAAATGATTGATGATGTTTGATTTCTGATTCAGTTTTGATAAGTTGAACCATGAATTTAATGTGATTTTGGATTGTTTTCAGAAACTTAAAACGATCGGAATAGATGGAAAAGAATGTCAACCTGGTAAAGGTTGGATCAGAATCGTAAGAGGAAAAGGATTGTTAAATGCGATTGTGATTAATGGAACTGAATCTAAAAAGAAAAGAGGAGCATGGGAATTATGTTTGTTAATGAAATCTAAAGGAGTCTTGGCTAAACCTACTCATGGTGATATTGTTAGACTTGCACCTCCTTTGGTTATTAGTCAAGAAGAAATTCAAATTGTGGTCAATGTGATTGGTGATTGTTTGAAAGAATTGGATTTGGTGAGTTTTTTTCTTTTGAATTTCTTTTAGATGAAAAAATTGATTGATTTGAACCGGGTTTTTTTGGTTTTTTAAAAAAAGGTTGAAACTATTCCAAGTTTAGAAATTGATCATTGATGATTCAAGTAGTTTGAATCGATTTTAGTTTGCATTGGTCTTGATATCCTTTATCATTTCATAAGAACATTCAAATCGTTTTTTTTTGCTTCATTGCTTTTTCATGTTGTTTTGATTGAAGTTTATGATTTCGTCTTCATCGTTGTTATTTGATCATTAGAGACACAAATTGATAAGTAGGCTATCTGTTAGACATCTTATTCTAGTTTGTTATCTTTTTTTGGACTCTTTTCTAGAACAAGATTTGGTTAAATATGTAATGCAAGATAGAGATACTTGATAATGTATCCACCAAAGAGCTGATTCAAGAACTCTTTACCTCTGGAAGTACGTAGTGGATCAGAGTTGAGATAGTCGTTTCCTTGTGAGTCTGAGGCTTTGAGTGAGAGGGACTCATGACAAATCCCCAACTCTTGACTGGAGAGTATCTCAAAGTTGATTGGGCGGTTTGTCATTCACTTCTACCACCTCAAGGCTGCTCAACACATGGTTGAAATGGTTTTGTGTCAAGATTTTGCCTGTAGACTCGCTCATGTGTTTTAAAGATGCTTGCAGTGCTTGTACTTTTCCACACTTTTCCATCCTTGGAATCACGAGGAGGCTTCATGCAGGACCCCGGAATGCCCCTATAAAGGGTAGTGAAATAAAAAGTTCCTTTTTGACTTCCGCGGATCCCCATTCCTGCCAAAACGCTAAGTCCATTCCTGGCTTCACCCATAGTTCTAAGAGGGTATGCACAGACAAGCAGTGGTCAAAGGCTGGCATCGATGGCAAAAACCAGCAATAAAACAAGGCAGAAATCGGCAGAATCAAAGCGAGCTGTCTATAATCCCATGAATTTTAACACCGCGGAAGTCAAAAAGGAACTAATTATTTCACTACTCTTTATAGGGGCATTCCGGGGTCCTCTTCATGCTGCAAATTCAATGGTGAGTGACATTCAACGTGGTCCAACTTTACATCCCTAGACCTTTCCCTCCGTTGGTTTTGTTGGAAGAGGTAATTTATCAAGTTAGAACAGGCTTTGTTTATTTCAGGTGGTTTGTTTGATCTCTGTGTTGGTGGCTATTAAGGAATGACAAGTGGGTTCTGAGCAGAATGGTATTGAGCATTAACAATGAGATTGCAGAAGAGAGAGAAAACAAGAATACACTGTTTCCAGAAAACTAGTATAACATCTACTACAGCTCAGCTGAGAATTCTCAAGTCTTGAGAGGGTTGATTGAATTTTTGAACTCATTTTCAGATATTCACAGTTATCATCAATAGCTTGTAGTTTGTTGCTTTCAAATTGCTCACAAAATGGAACATGAACCATGGCAAAATTTATATTGAAAACGGTTGATATTGCTCTGCTTTTTGCTAATTACATTTATTTACAAATACACATTCTGTCAAAGAGATGATTGAGAAACAAACATTATACAAAAACCGATTTGATCCATGTCACTTGATCAATATTCTGATCAAGTATCTCCGGTCTTAAATAAACCTCCTTTCTTTGGTGAAGCAGCTGCTCCTCCCATTGGCATCATTCGACGATCGAGTCCTCCTTGTACTGGTTTAAACTCTCGAAGCTAGTAAAGTCAGAAAGTAATTATATGATGAGACTGTTGTATTATTTTTGAAAATTGATGAAAGCAGAAAACTTACAGGGGTGAAATTTTGGCTACTCAATAGACCTGAAGGTGAAGCAGTCAAAGGAATTTCACTTATCCCTTGTCTTGCTTCCTTATCTTCGATTTGATTACATGGAATTCCATTATACGCTCCGAATAACATGGTGATGATGCAAGCAAGAGCAATGAACCGGGGTGTAATATAAGACATCATCTTGGTGCTGAAAAGGTTTGTAAAATCGAAATGGAAAAGGTTGAAAAGGTAATGGTTTGTTTGCGAAGAAAATATTTTAGTACAAAACAAAATATAATGATCTCGAATCAAAATGTATATACAGCTGTGTTATAAATGGAGGATATGTAGAATGAGTTAGGATGGGATGATGAGAAGTACTGGTGATCAAATCCAAAGCATTTTATAACAGAAACACTACCCCACTCTTCTCTTGGAGAACTCAAAAGAGAGGCGAAAATGAGATGGACGCGGCTTTCTGTGCACTTGTCACTCGCCATGCAGAGTTCTTGACCAAGTCAACTACTACTTCTTGCCATGCTAATAATTATCTCTGTGTCCAGGTTCAGGTCAAGGAAATCTCAAGCTGAAAGCTAACATCAGAAAGATCTTCAGCGACTGAGACCAAGCGCATTTTACACAGCGAAACTCCATCAACACCAAGCCTATCAAGGCGAAGGAGATGTAATTCAAGTGCCACTATATGCCAAGTAGGAATTCTGACTGAATGTTCATATTTGCAAATGGATGACAAAATATAGCTGCCCGTAGCAACGCCATCGCGCTTCGCTATGCTGCGCTATAAATGATCTTTTGAAGAGCGGAGCGATCCGGGGCTATGCCTAGGAGCTGGATCGCTGCGCTATCATTTCATGGTCGCAGCGATGCGACATATTACATCGCTCCGCTTCCCTCTGGTCAAAGTGGGCTCGCATAGCGCATGAGTGCACAAACAAGTTTGTTGTCAACAATGATTGCTTTGTATGATCATTAATAGCAGAGTGGGGATTCTCATGTATTGAGAAGCAAGAAGAAAAACTGCGCACATAGAGATAGAAATAGGATAAGTAGAGATAGGATAAGAAAAAGAAAAATAGAAATAGAAAAACAATTTTTTTAACTTTTTATTAATCATGTACTACTATTTTGTTATATGTTGGACCTTGAGAAAAAATGGAAAAAGTTACAGCTCATGTTTTTAACCGGATGTAACACAGCAAACACTGTATTTTTTTGTTTTCAGTGGCGTATTTTGAGGTTGAATCTTTTCTAGGGTAGCAAAAAACTTTCTTTTTTTTCTCAATGTCCAACACATAACAAAATAGCTGTAGGTGATTAATATAATAAGCAGGCAGAGTGGGGATATTGAAGGGGTGGGAAACAAGGATCCAAAAAGGAGAGAAAGGAATTATAGATTGAACACATCAACTACCTTCTAGCCTTGTTGCTAGAAGTTTCATACTTGGACAAACACTATTGCCTCTGCAAAATTACCTGAAAACATGATCTTTGATTTGAACCATTCATGTACACCAACAAGCTGCTGTATCATTTTTGTGGTTAAAGATGCTCAAGAAGGTGGGGCAATATCCCCCGCAGACAAAAAATTCCTCTCACGTGGGGCAGATATGCCAGATATGCAAGGTAATCTCAAGCCAGTGAAGCAAGGACAGGAATGTCCTTTTCATGCTCCTGTATACAAAATAAAAATGTCAGATAAATAAATAAATAACCTTTTGAAGAAGTGAAATTGATTGAGAGGGACTTGAACTGATCTTCCATCAATCCAGCTCATTCTGACTAAAATTCAAAAGATGAGCACCTTCTTGATAAGTAGGACATTCTTCTTGGTGTTGATTGGCTGCAAACTGAAATACCACTTGAGTTGTAAATTAGACATCAAACTTGGAAAAATTGGGGTTAGGTGAGATGAAAGGGGTTTGGATTTCTTCAATGTCTGAGTTTGAAGACATTGGATTTTCAGACCATCTATCAAGAGTTCCTTTGATGGCACAGTCCAATATGGCTTTTGCTTGGGGGGGCTCTTCAGGGTAATTGATGACAAAAAAAAAATTGAAAAGGACATTAAGATTAGTGGCTAAGACTATTGCATCCAAGGAACTGCCTCAGCCTGATACCCTTCAGGTTTTGTACATATCACATTGAGCATGTGCCTGAGCTCTGGGTCTTCACAGGATTTCTGCAGCTTATCAATGTTGAAGATGCCCCCAAGTATTTGGCAAGTAAGACACACCTGGTTACTTTGTTGGATTCCATTTGTTTGGTAGCGTACAGGAATATCTATGTATGATGAGATTCTAAGCATTGAATTTAAAGATAAAAAAGATAATAAATGAAATGAAATATTGAGAAAGCCAAATAAAAAGGATCCCACTATTTAGCGCCCGGTATCCGATATCCGGCGCCCTAAACCGGGTCGGACCCAGGCGCTGAACTATTATTCAGCCCGCTTTTGAAAAAAACGGGCTGAGTTTGGCGGGCTTTTGATTTGAGTCTTACTTCATCCATCTCACTCTCTTCTCTCACTTCGCACTATCTTAAATTTGCCCCTTTGAGCTCTTTTCTTTCGTCCTCAGAACCAATGTAAGCATGGCATAGGTAATTGCATATAATTTCATGATGGCATAGGGCATAGATCTAAAAATAAGCATAGCTGAGCATTCATCTCGTAAAAATAAAACAACCAGTACGACCAACAACAGAAACAAAAAGTGAGAGAGACAACAAGCAGTGAGGAAGCAAAGGGAGAGAAAGTGAAGTTCAAAACCCTTGGTTGGACCACATATCTAACTGGGCTTGATATTTTGAAACCCATTGAGGTATGTGGGTGGTGCCGATTGAGACCGAGAGGGTATCACCGTAAAGAGCTGGGAAGGGAATTGGCTGACCGCCAGTGCTGAGATGAACAAAATGATCACCATTTACAAAGGCGAGGACAATCGGATCATTTTCATTGGGCGGTATACGATAAGGCAAAAAAGTGCAGCTGTTGGCCTCCACAGGGTCAAACAGGATAACCGGACGTTCAAATGCTTGTGCAATAATGTATCCCACAAAAGGCATGCGTAACCAGTACGCCCGTTCACACTTGATGCCTTGAGGTTGAAGTCTGACTGGTAAATCCTCCATGACCTCGGTAGCAAAGGACTTGATAGTACGCCTAGTCTTCACTCCAGGCTTCATTCCAGGCATAGTTGAAAGCAATTTTTGATGGTCTTCTTTGTTTGACAGGAGCTCTTCTAGCAGTTCACGGCGAACTGTTACATAACTGTCCCCATGTCAAAATCCAAGCGCGGAAGCGATAGCGAGGTAACCACAGTTGCCAAATGGTGGTGGGTTGCAAATTGACTTGATGAACGGAACAATGATTCCAGGAAGTTGTTTCTATATGTTTTGTTCAACCGGTGTTTTAAGCGCGCTCTTGTGTACTGCTGAAGATAGGGATTTGCGAGACATCGAGGTACGGGTTTTGTTGCCGACATTTGGTTCAACAACAATTACATCAGATGAATCGTCTATAGAATCATCTGGCAATGGAAATACTACAGTGCCATAGGTGCGACTATCTTCCAACGTGGCCCGGACCACAGGATCCCTTCGCTCGAGGTTTAAATCTTCGGCTATCAAACAGGTCGCCATTTCCGGTATGAGGACTTGACGCAGATAGAGATCTGGGGCAAGAGGCTATGTCCTCGCAAACGTTAGATGCTCTTGGGCGCTGAGATTCTTGATGAAGGCTGACTCGAGTGACGTAACAATGATTTCGTAGCCCTGATACCCATAACTGAAAAAAAAGTAAGATCAGATACTTTATTAATTGATGTTGTCACAGATGACAGGGACAAGAGACCCACTATCCAGGTTGTTCAACTTCGAAATTGCCAAATTGGGCATTAATACTCCCAATATTAGGTCCTTTAGATTTCCAACGTGACTTGGCATCATCCAAGTAATATGATGATTCCACGTTGTTGATTATGTTGATCAGGACGGTTGTGTGTTTTTGAATACGACTGTGGACATGAGATATAAGAATCTACTGCTACTGATATGGGTATGCATAAGATCTCAATCTTACCTAGGTAAGTCACCAAAATTAATAGTTTGCGGCCATCCCTTGCTGACACCCGAAGGGATAATTTCACGTTCAGCTTCGTGTAAGGCACAGAAGTCGGCAGTTTGGGTGAACTGAATAAGTTCCAAATAATCAATCAGTTAATTTTGGGAATTGGAACGAGCTGAATGAAAAGATTCATTACTTACAGGCAGGGACATTGCTCCTGAACGGCCAATCCCTTTACGTAAGTTTGGCAACGCGAGGAGAGTAGCTTTCATTTTGTTGAGCTTTGTAGAAGGTCTTTCAGGAAGAGGATCGTCACAAAAAGGGCAAAGGTTTTCTTCTTCTGCACTTTCATCGTTGTCAGTGTCAGATTGTTCAAGGTGAGAGTCTTCATCCGATTCCGAAGACATGGCCAGAGGTTTTTCTTCCACAATATTACACAAGTCAAATTGAGAAGTAACCTTATCGGGTACAATCGAACCAGAGGCAGCGGGCGTAGGAAGGACAGCTGTCGTTTGGGTGGCATCAAGTTCTTGATCTTCGGCACTGAGTGTGAGTGCTAGGCGAGTTGGACACGTGGTGATCCGGTGACGTCCAATACCACAAAAGCTGCATTTGTTGACACGGGGAGTTTTCTTAACTTGATCAATTTCGAATTGGGATTTCCATCGACCTTGTTGACCTTCATCGGCTTTGGCCTTCTTTGAGCGTTTGGTTATGGCTTTGGGACGACCTCGATTGTTTGTCTTGACGTCAGCGTTTAAGATTGGAACAAGGCTGTAACGGCTGGTTTCCATAAGTCCGATCTCGTCGTACATCTTGCGCAAAGCATGTTCAGGTAAATCCAATAAGTGATCAAACTTCACGCGCGCGGCTTTGACCAGGCCCTCATGGGTTTCTGGAGGTACATCCATGAATAAGCGCCATTGGGTATGAATGAGGGATACTGAGAGATAGTCAGATTGGTCACGATGAGAAGCCAGTTCATGGGAACAGGGCAGGCCCCAAGCGCCTTGAAAAGTATGAGTACAAGGGCGTTGGAGTGAATTGGGTAGTAAGTCGTACTGTTCCTTGAGTTTCTTCAGAGCAAAGTGAGATACGAGTCGGTTCAGCTCTTTGAAGAACACAGGCATGCCTTGGAGAGTTTTGGTCATCTCGATACCAACAAGCACATTGATTTCCGTGATCTGGTGCTCTTCAAACCGTTTGAAAGAGTTAAAGCAGGTAACGAAGTCATTGTTCCGCCCTTCAAGAAAGCGTTTTGCACGGAAGTGGCTTCCTTCAACCCTTGAAGTAGACGAATTTCCAAAATGAGGCGTCTGAGAGGTGAACAACGTGACAAACTTTTCCGTCCGATTCAGCCAGGTGTTCGCGAGGTAATCGAGTATGTCGTGATCTTTGGCTACCTTAGTAACTGCTTCAAGATTAGAATCATAGTCTAATTTCGTGCTTGAGGCTACAAAGGCATTCCACAACTTCATGAAATCCGCCCATTCAGTATCCGTGAACTTATTCTTGCAGTTCTTGGCAACATTTTGGTTGATGTGCCACACGCAAAGAATATGAACAGCATCAGGAAAGATTTTCGAAATGGCATTGAATAGGGCGGGTTCGGCGTCGGTCGCAAATGTTTGAGGCATCGTAACAGGACTGGTTTGATCTTCATTGTTAAAAACGATGTTCTTCAACTGTGCTAATGCCCATTCATACTGAGTTTCGGTCTCGTTGTGCAAGAAACACATCGCCACAGTGAATGACCAATGGGTGTTGGTGGTACCTACTATATGTAAGAGTGGCAAGTTGAATCTATTTGTTTTGTATGTGCAGTCGAGGGCGAGAACGGTGGGAAATCGACGGGCGAGGCGTATTGCAGAAGGACTTGCAAAGAATAAGTTCTGAAGTTTACCAGTTTCTGAAGTTAGGGTGCGATGAGCCCAGTTACTTTCTGTAATCAAATCGAATAAACCTTGAATAGGAGATCGCCCGTTGAGCCAATTGTCTCTGAGCCAAGAGCGGACATTGTGAATATCTCGAACAAGAGGCTGTGATCCTGATTCGACATCGATGAGTGAGCGGATTTGGGCAGCTCGACAACCGGCAGATGAGAGTTGGTCAATTTGGCTTCTAATCGGTTGAGGGAATCATCGGTAAATGGCCATATCATGAGGTTTGTCGAATGGTGGGTGATTGTGTTCTTGTTTCGTCGGATTCTTGAGGTCTGAAGTGACGATCCATCTGTCACACCTTGCACGGTAATTGAGAGATAGTTCAAACAAGCAACCCGTCTTTTTCGAAGACGATGATCGTTTCTGAGCCAACGATATGATTTGGTGACCTACTTTGTGGCCAAGAGAACATCGCAAGTATACCCGGATGGTTTCCTGGTTCTCAGTCTTATGGCTCTTCACAGCTAGAGCGTAGCCTTGGTGACGAGCTACTGCATAAAGATACATAAGGCCATTATCCATTTCGATGAACTGTTTGCCGAGCTTGGGGCCAGCAAGCAAACAAACGGGTGCCGCACCTATATGACCAATGATAATAGTGTTTCAACAAACGTTAGTCCAAACCATTTAAAAATGAAAAAAGGAACAACATCAATGATCATAACATACCAATGACTGGCCAGTCCGCGTCTCTTTCGTCAGTTGTTTCCTGTGGACCTGCGGTAATGAAAGATTCGTTCGTGACATTGAGAACTGTCTTGTTCGTGGGTGGTAATCCGTTGATAGTTGTTGGTGTCGCGGCCTGGAAGCCTTCAATGGCAGTGGTAGGAATAGCAGTGGTCGAAGCAATAGCGTGAGGAGTAGGCATAACTGATGGTTGTGTCGAAGCCATAGCATGATGAGGTGTAGCAGCATACGGGGTAAAGGGAATACTCATAGAAGACAAATCGGGGGTAGCATTAGGTTGTGAAGTAGGTTGGGATAAGACAGGAGGTGGTTGGTGGTGGTAAGGTGGCATTGAGTTGGAATACGGGTAAGTGGGATGCCCCCAACTTGGATGAGGAGGAGGATGTGAGAACAGTGGTGGATACCAGAATGATGGAGGTTGCGAATAAGGGTGAGCGAATGGATTCACAGGAGGGTAGGAGGGATAATGATTAGGCGGATTGAGGGGGGGATGATGAGGATGTACTTCGGGGTTGGTGTTCCCGTTGTTTGGGTGGGGGTTTGACATCTGACTGTGGGGCAGATAGAGATCTGAAAACTTTGTAGTCTGTATGGAATGAATGGAAGGTGGATCCGGGGTTTTGAACTGATGAAGGTGCGGTGATTAGATGGTGGATGGGAAAAAAACGGATGAGGGAAGGATTCCACAAGGTTCACTTGAGTCCTTTATATGCAGCTCTGTGTGCTCACGGGCCGGTCCGGGCGTATCACGAAGGGAGAGCCCTTGCGCAAAGTTTTCTTTGTGTCTACGCCCTATTGTGACCAAACAAGGGCGTAAAGCAAGGAAGAAAGGGCTCAAAGGGGGCCTTTCTCATGAGAACGCGCCCACGTGAGCTTGTTTGATGGTCCGACTACAGCCAAAGGTTGTCGGGCTCTCTCGGGTAGCTCGGGTAATGCCCCAAAAAAAGGGGGCGCCGGGTATCTTGTAGCCGGGCGCTAAATAGTGGGATCCAATAAAAAATATGAAATCATACCTGGAGGGGTTTGACAAGTATCTCAATTGCATCCCATTCCTTGCTCCTTATATGTAATCCTTGAAAATATCAAGTTTTCCAATCACTGAGAAGGATTGCATCAACAACCTAAAAGTTGAGCAGGATTAACAAAACATAAATCAAGAGAGGATTGAGCTGATTGTCCTTACATTTGATGTGTTGCTCAAATTTTGAGGTAATCAATGTTGATGTTACATTGAACTCCCCAGCCGGAGATGGGTGATTGGCCTGTGTATTGCAATTGTTCAGTCTTTTCAATAGATTCTTGTAGTCTTGCCAAAACTCTGGTGCATATGCCACTGAACTTCTTGGCGTAAAGGTAAGGATAATATATCAAAATGTAATCTGAGGCTGTACTATTAAAATTAAAAGGGTATATTTGCCTTGCAAACTGCAAGAGCCACCTTAGAGACAGGTTTAGATTGATCATTTTCAGAGCTGTTGCCAGAAGTTTTGCAATCCAATGGTTTGTCATCAGAATCAAGATTGCCTTGAGAATATTCAGAAGAGTTAAATTGAATGTCTTTATCACGCTTGTTCAGTGTCATTGTGGTGGTAGGTAAGGTAACACCTGGTAAAGTGGTAGGCTTGGTGTGACCAGCAATCATACCTAAAGAATTGAGTGTTGTAAATAAGACAAAACCTACTTTTGTTTGACTGTAACACACAGAATCAGTAAGTATCAAGGGGTACAAAGAATCAAAGGATAGTATGAGAATGATTATACATCCCTGAAGCTTTTAAATCATTATGGCAGAGAGTTCTTCGTAGATAGCTTTGGCAGTTTTGGTGGCCCATGTGGTCCCTCAGAGATTGGCTGAATGGTTTGAAAGTTTGAACACAGCTCAAAGGGCAGGATTATTGAAACATGAAAAGGGGAGGGCATGGCAGAGGATAAGACTAATACCGTAGTGAAAAGCTCCACACTGAAAGTGGATTGATCAAGAAATGAATCACAAGTGACCTTTGGGTTAGAGGATCCCACTCAAACAAACTTGTCTTTCTGTTGTTTCCAAGATCAAGGCAGATCCTGGCCTTGAGCAATGACAATATGTCAATATTCTCAGGCTGGTTGATGCTTGGAGCTGTCTCAATGGGAATATAAATTGAAGTAGCTATGTCTCTCTGATACAAAGTAACCTTGAAAGTAATGGCACTTGTACCTACAAGGATCATCACCAGTCTAAGCAGGTCATAATGTTAATAAATTATTAAGATTGATGAATAAATGATTATTGAGACCAAATCAGATATGAGATGAAAGAAGATTGAAACTCACTGTGCCCTTCAAATGAACAGGTTCCTCAATTAAACCAATAAATTGGCTACCCTTCCAGGTTCACACTTGACACTTGGAGGCTAAACAACCTTGATGTCAGAGTATTGATTGACATTGACTCCATTGGGGACATCATAGTCCCTTGAAAAGGAATGAAGGATGAATACAATCAATAGAAAAGAGTCAGAGGTAATATAAAAATGGAACAAAACAAGAAAGATGATAAAATAATGTACCTCCTGTACCATAAGTTTCTTTTTCTTCTCCACAGGAGCTGAAATAGTTTGAGACAAATTTAATCGCAAGAGGTTGAACTTTTTCTGTTTTGGGGGGCCCTTTTCTTCAGGTTTGGTTGACAAACACAGTTTCATATTGATGGTCTTTGCCATTGGATTCTTCAGCATAAGATGGTAAATGAAGAGCTTGTTGCAAGTCTGGACACTGTGTGACAAAACCAGGGCAAGGGTGGACAGGGCTACATGTACAAAGGGTTCAAGTTGACATCACGGTACTAGTACTAGTAGGTAAAGCAAGGGTACTGGACACAACCTGCAATGTAGTTTGGGTTTAGTTTTAAGCATCAAGGACAAATGGAGTCATGAGTGAATGAAGAACCACAGGGTTGTAACAATAATCTACATATTTGGGAAACAATAAATGGGATGAGATGAAAGAAAAAGGAATTAGTATGAGTTAGGAAAAAGAGATTGATCTATTTGATTGATGAATGACAAAAAATCAGGCAAAAGAGATAAAAAGGAACTCACCTTGAGGACCTTTTAGCAATGGAGTCAAAGGTTCCAATTGGATTGGAAACATGAGCATTGGTAAAGGTGGAATTGTCAGAGAATTCTTTGTGGAGGTGGAATCAGTAGAATTTTCATTTGTGTGGGGGCCAGGCGGTCATTCAATGTAGAAATCACTGATTGAAGATGTAGATGAGCTGAGATGGAGGCGTTGAAGGAATCATTGACAGAATGGAATTAGATGACTGTAATACAATGTCAGATGAGTCTGAGAGCTGTAATACAGCACTCTGAGGTGCTAGGGTGCTAAGATGCACAATCACGCTCTGAGGAGCTATGGCACAGCATAGCACGGCAATATTTCATTATACAGTGCGCATAGTTAAACCACTATGTGGGGTAGGGTTTGAAAATAGCTATAGTGGGGTGCTCCACCCACTATAAGGCTAAAAGGGGATCACTGCTTTGGGTGGAATGTTGGTGGAATTCATACCTTGGATATTTATCACTATTAACCAAAAAAGGGCATACCAGTGAGGCAACATGTTCAAACCACTTTTGAGGCTGGCAAAAGTGAACTGCAACTCCTTAGGGGATATTGGATGGTATTCCGTTGTAGGGGAGTCGAACCCCTGACGAGGCTAAATGCCAATGGCAAAGCCCCAGTTTACCACTAGCCTAACAACGCCTGAAACAATCTACATATTGCTCATACATATACAGATATGTGTTCCAAAACAATCCGGATGCAATAAATAATCTATCAGTAACTAATAGGTCATCACACACCATATATTGATGGCATGTGCTGTATCCAAAAATGGCATCTGTGGTTTGGAACCCTGCCAATTGCAACACATCAGGGAGGAACCTTAAGTTATTTATATTCTCAAATCCGGATTCACCCCCCCAAAAGCCCTATACCCTTTCAGCATTGCTGGGTATTAAGCCTTTGGGTGGGTGAACACAGGATCCTCTCTGCTTCCCACTTACAACTCACTTACGTGTAGCCATGGATAGCAGTGAATGATGATTCCCTCATTTTGCTCTCATATTTATACCTTTTTTGCCTGGCTTTCTGATGAGCCATTGCGCCAGAAAGTGTCACATACCATTGGCATTTATCCTTCAGACCATTGTCATGCCCCTTGCTTTTGAAAAAGAATTCTGCCATATGTATTCCACACAATTTTCTAATAGCACTCTTAATAAAACATACATTACAATCTATTGTTGCAATCCTTCCACTGTAGCAATAAGCACTATGTTATCCTTTCTTTTTAAAAATCACTCTTCAACATGTATCTTCCATGCATCTCTAATACATAGCACTCTTCCAGCACATGCACCCCGATTGCAACCTATTATTTTACATGTGTATCCTAAACTAATCTCGATCTTGAAGATGGATTGGTGCAGATGAATTGTAACCAAGAGTCCAAAGTGTTGCATTCAGAAGCAAAACAGAAGATTTCCAGGTTGAACATGGACACAACTCTATGTAAAAAGCTTTGATGCCAAGATAGACCCCTGGTATGATTGAGTCCCTAAATTCTTGGCAAATCGATGAGAAAGAAAGAAAACAAAATACTCAGAATTGTGTCCTACTGCAAAGGAACACATCTGCAAAGCTTCCATTCCTTCTTCAATTGTAAGTCTCATTTCTGATCTCTGATTGTTCACATGGGCGAAAGCATCTATCACAAAAAGCTTCAAACGCACAATGATACATTTCATGATTCTTCCGCCTCTTCCAATGCCACTATTTGTGTTGTGACAATGTCTTTGTGCTTTTGAAGGGTGCTAACCAACACTAATATCAGACCTCAAAAAGCTGATTTTTGTCAATACCTTGAAGATTTGGTCAGTCTATCAATCCTCTCTTACTCTAGAAGAGCTGGAGTAGCTCTTACAGAATGGGCTCTGGATTTTAAATAGAAGGGACAGTAGGATCACAACCTCATCATAGGATTAATAGTAATTCATAAAACAATATTTGACGAGGGCATTGAAACATATCAAATCACTCTAATCTGATGTGAAAACAACTTTCCAAATGGAAGAGAAGAAAACTAATTTATGCTTATCATTGGATGTAATGAGCAAATTGCTTTTCCTTAGGATAGCTATTTCAATTAGTCCTCATATTTGAATGCTTGAGGTAAGCAATATAAGTAAAATTTCACTCTGTTATTTGTGTTTTTCAAGCTCATTAATTAAAAATCACAATTGAAGTCTACATTTGTTTATCAATCTTCAGATCATTTATGTAAGTATGCTCCCCATCAAGTTGTTTTTGAAAGTGGTTTGTATGTGATTACTAGGGCCATAGGATTTATAAAAACATTGGCAATGACAATGAGATTTTCAATCAGATGTTAAGCTATAAAGAGGTAGGATAAGTCCTAATTCTCTACATGGTATCCTTCATCTTATCTTACTTTTTTGATGATATCAAAATCTTAAATTTCAAATGGAAAGCTTACCC